ATTAAGACAATTTAACAATACAATATATATTAACAATTATAATTTTCTCATTGCAGATTGAATTGAATTTTCTTTGGGGGAATCGGAGAAAAAATGAACTGAAAAATTGAATCTAGACTAGCGTACAATTCGGTAAAAATATATAGGCCAATAATTATATGTCACATATAATTTTTCAGAAGGAATTAATTTAATTTCCCTATCAAATATATACCGAATAATACATATGTATGAACAATAGGTGTGTACTCAGATGTATTAAATTAAAACACAATCAATGAACTCGAATCAATATTTCGTTATTAAAATCACACGAAGAAGAATACCGTCTGAACTCTATCAATATCTCCAAGAAACTAAAGACTAAAGTCACGAAAGAAAGAACCCTACAATATTTTCTTGTGAAACCATTATTTATGATAAATTTTTGTAATCATCATAAATCAGTTCAATATATTTCTATGAATTTTAACTTGATATTCTAACAAGTATATATGTGTGTTAATTAATATATATTGGATATGCACAGTGTTTTCCATGGGAGTATCTTACGGAGTAATTGAATGGAAGGTGTGTTGACACTGGAATATTGGCAGAGGAACGAGACGAAGAGCCGTCTGTCTGGGTCCGTCGGCGGGAAGGGACTTGGGTGTCAGATGGGCCGATATCGTCCAGGCAAAACCCAGGGCCTTCGAGAAGACCATGTACCTGTCATTTCTACGTGACCGTGTCATTCTCCTATCGTCCTTGTCCCACGGCCTACCCACATTCATAGATTATCAGCTAGTCTCAGCTCTCAATTTTTTCTCACTCTCCAACGAATTATTCCACCGTTTTTTGCTATCCCATCTCATTTTTTCAGTCTATCAAAATAATATCAATCAATATACCTTTATCTATTCATTATTCCATTCTTTTTTGCAATTCATTTTTTCATTCTTTTTTGCAATTCATTTTTTAATTTTTTTTTTTTAGGGGAAATTCTCATTTTAAAATGTCCACAAAACCATTTTTGCGCGATCCTTTGAATAATAAATAATTGATTATTAAGAATGATTGGATTTTCTTGGGATGAATGAATTTAATGAGCGATGGGAATTATTATTATTTATTGTGTGTCGTAGGATTATGCGAGTTGTCACGTAATTTTATATTTTTCTCTCGGTGCCAAGAATTTTTCAACGCGGATGTCTGCGGTCGACGGTGGAATATCCGAGGGATCCAGGTACATCATAAAACCACCGGGGATGTCCCTTGGGGAATACGGAAATGCTCTTGGGATACGTCAAGACGTTAGAGAACTGTGTCTACATGGACCCACACTTTGTGTACTTTGGATTCCCTAGAATCTCATGGCATCCCAAAGGATTCGTATTCTGAGTCACGCATTTGAAAATATTTGATTTTTCCTCGTGATATTATTTCGAGAATTTCGATTCCAGTCGGAATGCGCGCACCGAATTATCATAGCGGAGTTCAGTAGAATTTCAAAATTTCCTTTTAAAAAATTCGCGACTGCATGACCAGTCGATCATTGTTTAGCAGATGATAGAAATTAAGAGAATTCAGCATCAGGCATTTGGTGATTTCGCTTTTTTTTCGGCTTTTTTTTTGTTGCGGATGTTTTCACCCCGTGTTATGCGAAGAAAATTCGTCTCCTCGGGGACAGATACGTCAACGTAAAAAATAAAAATAAACCGACATCCTGACCTTAAAATTTATAATATTATATATCTACTCTACATCATTATTATTATTATTATTCGTTTTTATAAATTTATATTTCTTTTCATCACGATGTACCGAAAAATATTGTAAACTCGTGCAGAAAGTAATTTTTCCGCACTTGTTACGGAATATATTATAAACTCACGGACTCTTCTCTGGCGTCAGAACTATTCAAGATCTTTCACACATTCGCAGTTTTCCGTGCGACGAGGAAATGTTTTGCGCTGAAACTTTGCGCCCGAGTGTGTGAAAATGCTTTTCGTACGTTAAATCCTCTTGATAGAATGTTTCGGGTGAGTTGGTCGGGAAAAGGCCGTGGCAGTTCAGGAGTGGTTATAGAAAGTGTGCGGTGGGACGATCCATCAAAACTGCATGTCAGTAGCCATTAGCACGCTCCCACTGCGCCACCATATAATGCCATTTTTTAATTCGCGACAACCCCATGGTATTACCACAAAATAGCCGACTATTTCCTCGAATATTTTGCATCAACAGTCTCATCCCAACAATCTGCAATCTCTAGAACAAAAAATTCAAAAGAAAATACGCGCCTCGCAATCCGTTGGCAATCGGAAAGAAGTCACGGAGAAAAATTTCTGATATGTAATAATAATTCACCTTGAGGCTGACCAATTGAGAATTAAAAGCCTGAGAAAACGGAATTTTCCATGGAGTTTTCCATAAAATTTTCCCTGGACGATAATGATTTCTAAATTTATTTATCTTTATTACCATTCACTAATCATTATTTTCATCATAAACTTGATGAATTTTTATAAATGAATAAATTATATTATTATACGATTATTGTTGCACGTGGATTTATAATTATTTATAACATTTATTGAATGTAATCAAGTGATCAGTGAATTTATGAGTTATAAAAATAAAAACAGCGACAACGAAAGAATTTCCTAGAGAATTTTCGACGTTAGGTCATTTTTTGGGGAATTTTCTGGTAATTGGATGTAATTTTTTCGCAAGATTACTGACCGATTACGAATTTCTCTTCGCACATGACCCCGTTACAATTTCATTATCCCTCCAATTCCATTCCAGCGAATGTAGATCACACGTACGTTATGTTGAGAAGCAGCAGGATGAGGAGCAGAAAACGGCAGCAGCCAGCCGTCGTGGACCAACGGGCGATCCATCACCAGAGTGTCAACCACCCCTCCTCGTCGAGAAACAACTATCTATGACATTCTTCTCGCTGCCACTGCTCATACTTTCCGTTCTCCTTTTTTTTCCTTTCCTTTTTCTCTCGTGCAACCCATCCTGCTCTTATCCTCCCATAACATGCAGACCAATATGGATATGGGCGTACCTTCAAACAGGAAGAACTTTCTTTTCCATTGATCCAAGTACCAGGAGAAATCAATTTAATAACTAGCAAATTAATAATTAATAACTCAGCAATCACATTTATCCTCGGCATCGAAATGGAAGGGCAATTGCAGATACATCAGTTTGTTGATGAAAATTCGAATTGATTTATGGAATTTTTAAATTGTTAATTAATTTGAGAGTTAACTCGGAAGAATTCATTAATTCACAGTTTTCTTCAATCGAATTCAGAAAGTAAATGGAGACGTGAGGGAATTGTTAATTAAATGTTTTTGATTGATTATTGATTTATCTCGGAAGTTATCGAGTTTAGAGAGAAATGTTAAAGGACTTTTTTGTGGTTCCTGAAATTTTCTGGAAAAAAAAGATTTTGGGTATTTTCTCCTAAAATCAATGGTCTTCGGATAATTCGGTGTTCAATGAAAATGGACGATTCGGTTGAACTTGATTTTCTCTTTCCAAGAAATTGTACCCGTCGATCACCTTGGGTAATCAACTGGTCTTAATTATCGGAATGTACAGTGGAATGTAATTACCACTCGACAGATTGTTGACAAATACGGTAACAACTAAACACCCGACTAGTTTCACCGAAAATCAATCACTCCGAGTACATGTTTGTGTCATTCCATTCATGTTACGATGTCAATCTACTCAACAGAAAGGTTGATATCAATTTTATCACTAATGGATATTGATGAATAATCAAATTTCCATTAATCACTGCTCCGAGAAATTCTCGCAAAAATCCAAAAGAATTTTCTCCTCAACAGAAAATATTTATGAGAAAATTCATTGATTAATTAATTACATTCCATTCATTAATTCTTAATAATAACAATAATAGAATAAGTTAGGATTTTGTGTCCCATTTTGGCCTAGACTACCTGTTTTTTATTTTAGCATTTTATAATTATTTCATGACAGCTTTCAATAATGTTTAATGAATTTTCGAAAATTTTCGAAAAACGAAAACGGTTTATTCTTTCGCATCAATCCGATCAAAAAATTGTCAGAAAACTTGAAAAAAGCTGTGAACTTTGTCAAATTTCTGACAAAATCTAAATGAAGCAACAAAAGCTTTTATGATTTAGACTGCAAGTCTGGCAGAAGGATCTGTTGACAACGAACTGCCAGTTGTCAAGATACACAGGGAGTGGAAAAACCGTTCTGGATGGGGCAACGTACAATTCTATTTGTTGGATTATTGTGTACTGCTGCTGCGAAATCAAGTCTGACGAAGATCGATCGACAAACGTTTCAGGCGTCAACACATATAAGCACACAATATGGCAAGGGAGAAAAAAAGCCCACCCTCTTTCGGTATTATTGTACTTCAGCCCGAAAAAGCCGAAAAATTCTATTAAGATGTCGGTGGAACGAAATTAGAAAGAGTCTCGAGGTTTTTCGAAAAAATGATCGATCAGGAAAATAATTATTTCTGTCCACCTATTTTCCTTTTGACAACTAAATTTCCAACATTTATAAAAAAAAAAAAAAAACAACATATTACATTGTCATCTCTCACAGATTCATTAAAATTTCATCCATTAACATTATTTAAATCGAAGCCTGCATTGGAAAGGTAAATTATTTTTTATGATAATCACTGTCCGCAAATTTGTTATTGTTTAGTAATTTTATTAATGCAATTTCAATAAATTCGTGAGTTTGAAAAAATTTTGGATTTTTTAACTAAAATTAGAAGAGCAGTTTTTCAGGTATTATTTATTATAAAATTATCTCTTTATTTATAATTAATTTCTGTTCACCCTTCGGTTATTCTTTATCTTTAATTATATTCCTATTCAATTTAAATTGTTTCTCGTAATTTCAACTTACGTAATTTCCTAAATTACTGGAAAGTTAGTCAGTAGTCCCATCTCCCAGACCTGTCCGAAACACATCTACTAGAATTTCTGGTGTTATCAACAGCTGGAGAGATCATAACCTCAACTTCCTGGTTAATCAGAACAGCAAATTTTGAATGGAAGATTTCAAAAGCAGACGGTTCCACACGTGTTTATCTTCCCAGATAATTCTTCACAATTCCTCTCCAGCTGATTGATTCCAATCAGTTGACCAATTTCATCTCGTCACGATGGATTCCTTGACTCACGAAACAGAAATCCAGGTATTTAGGTATTTAGCAAAGATTGGGTGCTGCATAAATTGCTGTTTACGATTGATTTCTGTTCGTAATCCTGAGTATTATATCAATCCAATTGAGATTTCCAAAAAGGTGAGACAAATCCCTCTTAATAAACCTGAACATTCAGAGACTAGAATTAATCTCCTATTGATTCTCTTTTGCAGTTGAAATATCTCGACGAATCTTCTGAGATTTCCGAAGAAAACCCCTGCATCGCCTGCCTAGGAATTCTCCAACAAAATGTCAAAGGACAAGTATTGGATCAGGTAAAAAATCACAAACAACTGGTTCTAGGAGTTATTCCCCTAAAAAAAAATCTCCCAGACAAAATCCCCCTGAATTATTCCGGTGGTATAATTAACCCAATAATTTATTGATTTACCTCATTAAATGATTTCCTTTGAATAATGTCTGATTCCAGATAGCAGAAGCCATCAAGGCAGAGGACAATGACAGCCCCACGTTCACATGTGCCCTTTCAGTCCCGATGTCCCTGACACTTCGTGAAAAATCCCTGGACCTCTCAATTCGTCAGAATCTCTCCCTCCCACCAGCTGACCTCTCCCATTTGTTCCTGAGGATAGAGTCCATCAAGGACGTCTGGAAGGTCCAGATGCTCCCGAAAATCGAGTCCATGATCTCAAAGAGGTCCATCTCCGGTGGCACTCCCTCTCCCTTCCTCATAGACATTTCCCTCATCCACGATCGAGACGAAAGTGATTACGAGTACCTTCTGAAGAAATGCGATCCCAATTTTCACGAGCGAAGAAACCGAAATGTCAAGTACAGCAGAAACAACATCGAGAAAGTCCTCTCAACAATCGACACAGATAAATTCTCTGAATTCTTTCCAATTCCACCAGGAAAACCGATGGGACCAATTAAAATTGACAAAATCTCCTGCTCCCATGCTGGTGTATTCGTGGGTGGAAGGTACAACAAATTATCGAGGGAGTTGAGTCAAACACCGTGGTTCATAAATGGAGAAAAAAAAATGGAATCCTCTGTCCAGGATCTCCTCTGTGGACCACTGCTCGAGGCGATGAGGGCGGATTCCTTAAAATTCCTTTCATCCGGTAGAGAAGACGTTGACGTCAGGACACTAAACTCCGGAAGACCATTCGCTGTGGAACTGGTCAACCCGAGGAGAACGAATATCCCAGATGCTGAGATGAAAATCATCTCCGAGAGGATAAATTCGTCCACAGATCTAGTGCATTTGACTTCTGATTTGAGATTCCTCGAACCAGGGCATCTGAAAACACTCAAGGATGGGGAGAACAAGAAGTCCAAGTTTTATAGAGCTCTCTGTACAATTAAGGATTCATCCAAGAAGGGGAGGATTAACCTGGAGCAACTGGAGGGGATGAGGAACGTGAAGATAATTCAGAAGACACCAGTGAGAGTTTTACATAGAAGACCCTTCGCTGCTCGTGTCAGGATGATCTACAGAATCCGTGGCAGATGGCTGACGGAACAGGAAATTGAAGCGTTCAAGAAAAATAACCCAGATGATCTCGTTAATAATCTCTTTGTTCTGGATATTAAGACTCAGGCAGGGACTTACGTCAAAGAGTTTGTCCATGGGGACTTTGGAAGGACGAAACCTAGTCTTGGAGATCTCCTAGGAGAAGAAGTTGACATTGTGGCACTGGATGTCACGGGGATAAATCTACATTGGCCCTAGGAACAAATCAATTTCCTCCAATATTTGGTTAGTTAAATACATTTTTATTTACAATTTACGAGTTCCTTATTTAAATAGTTTTTAAATTCTTTTCAAATTAAAATTTAAGAATTCGAATTAGGTTCTAACTGCTTAAGAACATTTTTCTAAAAATAGAACACATGTGGAAATGTCTTGCTAAAATTCAGCATTGAAATTATGTGAAAAAGTAAAATTAATTGAATTCGAAAGATTTGTTAATTATTCATTTATCTAAAAAACTATCGATTTCTGGAGGAAGTGGTGAAGGAATTTTTTGAAGGCAATTAAATTTCAGATAAAAAAGGTCCTCTCGTATTTTCTCATAAATTCAATAGTTTTTAAGATCCATAGGTGTAAAACAAAACTGAAAATTCCCACTGATCACTTTAACACTTCCGTACTGAATTGATAACTTAGTGAAGTTAAAAAATAATTTTTACTTCATCATGGAATTATTCTCGATGCTTGTCTTTAAATGTATTTTACTTTATCTGTTCGTTTGTGCTGATTCTTCAATGTTTTTTTAAAAAACGTAAATTAATGAGATTCGTTTGCGGATTTTTTAATGTTTTGATCACTCGAGATGAGAGCAAATCCGAAATTCTTTTAGTTCTCTGTTTTCGGGATTTGGTTTTATTGGTGAGGACGCAGGAGATATTCGTTACCTGTTGGGCCGTTGTTCTTCCACAATAGAGATGAGTCTCTGTCTTGATTTTTTGTTGTTTTGACAAACACAGGAGACGAGACCTATGAGATGCTTCACCGAATATTCCTGAGAAAAAATTCCACCATGATTATTCAAAGAATTCATTTATAAATGTTGGAGAGTTACCTTATGCTCTTTCACCCATTCCTCAAGTGTATTTTCCGCTAAGTAATACGCCTTGATGTAGGTTTGTACGTATTCACGATGAGGCATCGGGCTCACAGACGTGATGGTCTCAAATTTGGATTTTAATTGGGTAAAATCAAGTTGCATCACCCCCCGACCGGCAACTGAGCACTTCTTAGCGTTCGATAATCTGTAAAAGTCAATAATTTTCATCTGAAAAAATATTATTTCCTCTAACAACTCATTATTTTGAGTTAAAACATTTGAATCGAAATTCAAAATTCTTCACGTGACGACGGATTTCATCCAAAAAATCACGATTTGGCGTTAATTAACAAAAAATTCAATGAAGGAAACTTACCCTTCGACAAGAGTGTGTGTTATCAGATGGCCAACATTCTCCCAAATGGCATTCTCGATGTCCCGAGTAATTGGGAGAAGATTCCCGACCTCCTCCAGCCTCCTCTTCATCTCGAGCACCTCCTCCTGGATTTTATCGACATATCCACTGTGCTGGGACATCACATCCCTGACCTCCCAGTTGACCCTCGCCATTCCTGCCAGTACTCCAGCGACGTCAAAAGCCCTGGAGACGACAGCCATGTACACAGGCTTCCTCAGATCTATAGCAGAGGCAATAGTCTGGCTATAGAACTGATTCAAAAATCCCCTGTCTTCCTTTTCCCTGATGAGTCTCTCCAGGTAACTTCTCAGACTCTCGTACTGAGCCCCCAGAAACACGATGGACTCTACTGCAACAATTCTCTCAGCCAATCCGAAGAGCCTCTTCCCATTGGATAAATCCACAGTGGTGGACAGCATGGGTTGATGAACCTTCAAGGCCCTCTTCCCCTTGGCCTCACCGTCCTCCTCCTCAGCCTCATTGGCAATCAAATTCTCCCGAATTCTTGCCAGAGTTAATTTCAATAGTGGACTGTACAAGGAATCACTGGTGATCTGGAGGTCCGATGTGAAAAAATTATGAATAGCATAAAAATAGAGCTCGAAGAATTGTATCATGCTCTGGGTGACAGTCACAGCTATTGATCTGAGAAGTCTGGACATCTGGAGGTACCTCCCACAGACCCTCAGTACACTCAAAGTGGTGTTGGTGACCATTGGCCCAGAAATTCCCTTCTTTCTCCTCCGTCTCCTAGAATTATCCTCAATCACTTCGGCCTCTTCCTCAGACGATACCTCGGAGTAGTCAGCACTAGAAATATCCAGATTCTTAGTCGCGAGAATGTCCTCGTCCATCGTCTCATCCATTCCAACGTCGAAAGGAGAGATATCGGTCTCCAGGTACCTCTGGATCCATCCAGAGACCGAGTTGTCGTGGTCACTGGAGCCATCGGGACTCCTGCAGTTGATGAGAGCTGGTCGGAGGCTCTTGAACTCCTGGAGTTGAGTGGCAACAAAGGTCGACTTGACTGGACACAATTCCCAGCCATCGTGCTCCAGGAAAATCCTCAACTCGTCGAGTCTGGAGGCGTGATAATGAGAGAAATAAAGTGAGCACTGATTTTTCATGGTCCTCTGAAGATTCTCGGTCTTGGAGTCACAAAGCTCCTCGCCAATCTCCATCAGACGATTTATAATTCCCAGGACCTGGACAAATTGCTCAAATTTCAGGGATGTCAGGTCAGCAGCTGTGAGAAATGTGCAGATTTTTATTTCCACGTCGTGCCAGACTTTGGTCATTCCATTCTCCAATTTCTGCTTGATGTACTGATTGCTGAAGGTTTCTTCGAGATTACTCGAGTGATCCGGAGGATCTGGAGGGTTGGAGTTGTGCCAGACGAGGACCTGATTATACGAGCACACGATTCTCCACAAGGATTTACTGAGGTCGATGAGGCAGTTGATCTGGGAGTCTCGAGGTATTGACTGGCAGATCTGCTTGTACTGGCGTTTTATGTCACCTCCAGAGTACGAGTGAACAGTTGCAAATGCTGTATTGAGAATTGCAGCTGTGAAGTGCATGTGCAGATTATCGATGGCTGTCTGAGTTTTTCCGAGGAGTTTGTAGGCTTCCTGGACTGATGAGTAGGTTTTATTGTCGAATTGCAGGCAAATTCGTGAGAGCGTGTGCTCCAGGGTCTCTTCTGTCTGCTCGAGGGTGTCCTGGAGTTTTCCATGGAGGGCTGCTACGCAGAGGAAGTGCTTGTAGGTTTGAGCAGCTGATTGACACTCCAGGAGAAGGGATATTGCACCTGGGTAGTTCTCCTCTTTCAGCAGCTCCTGCAGACGATCCTCTGTTCTCTGGAGTGTCTTGATTGTTTTCAAATTGGTCAAGAGCTGTTGAACTGTCTGACGTTTTCGATAGTTCGACAAAATTCCCAGGCTTGCTGTCGTAAACTGCTTCTTCGCGAGGTTTAAATCGAATCTACCTTTTCTACAGATATCCAGCACGTCTTGCAGTTGCTTCAGGAGTTCCAGGATCTCCTGGAACTCATCGTTGCATGCACTCTGCTTCTGCAGAATCAATTGCAGCACTTTTGTCGAGACCACCTGCTGCTGCTGCTTCAGAGTTTTGTAGTACCTCTCGATGTCTTTGCAGTTCAATTTTTCGGGGAGCTTTAGTAGCTCATGTCTGCATGCGTCGAAGGTACCATCTGTCTCGTAATATGATGACTCGATTGACTCCAGGATTTCTTGGTCTGGCACTGGTTCACCCTCGGTTGAATGACTCGCCTCAGATTTCACTTCGTCCTGGAAATCGTGGCGGTACGGATCGATGGGATTCAACAATTCTGGGTTCAATCCCATTGATGGGATTTTCGGTTGATTCTGAAATTCATAAATTATTGAATTTCTATTTTCTAACGCCAATGGAATTCCACCTGAGTTCATTACAACGAAAAAAAAAAGAGAAAGCCAAGAAAAAATTACTCCAGGACAATTTGGAGCAACTGAAAAAATGTCTAAATTTTTTATTTTTTCGTCGCGATCTCCTTTATATTTATTTAGTAAAATTATTGGAAAATTTACCTGTTTATTTATCAGGCCCAGAAATTTAAATTTCAGGTCCTCCATCATAATGGAGTTTTTGACTGACAGCCCGAGTTTATTGCGATCCATCATCGATCATGTAACCTTTGATGTGGGAATTAATTATATAAATGCGATATATTTTGACAGGATATGTCGAGGCACTTGTAAATATGTCATCGTCGATGAGACGTCAATTGCAGGCCATTTGACACATATTTTGGGATTTTTACACCTCTTTGGGTGGAGAGGAATGTATTGGATGACGTTTTGAGGTTGTGTGTGAGGACTTTGCATTCTACAGTTCTCCAAAATGAAGGTAATGTCGGTGGTCATGGGTAGATGGTGTACGAATAAATTTCTCGAGCCAACGAACACAAGAAATTTGAGTTGAAAATTCGAAATTTTTGAAAAAGTATCAGGGAAGCATGGAAAATCGAGGAGGTATTCACTGAAATTGAAAAATTCGAAAATTTAAAAAAAGTATCATTAGATCTTCAACTTCAATATTTATTCTCTTCCAAAACAATAGAATTCACCACTTATGACTTGACAGTAGACGAACAATCACAAACAATAATAATCCATCATATATATATTAATAAAGACTATTATATGTCTATTCCACGGTTTTTCCAACCGGATAAATTAATTATTCCTTTCTCTCTTTGGAAAACTCTTTGGAACTGAATCTTTGGCTTGGAATGTTGAAAATACGTGAATAACGAATTATTTACCCTATTTTAATTAATCAATTAATGTAACTCAGTTAAAGGTATTTAATTCCATTAATTGAATACCTTTAATTAATCAACTTCACTAATAACTAATTTTTCTATCTAGAGTTTCATAGTGCGACTTATAAATTGAAATAGAAAACTCTTTAGATTTGAATATTTGGCATGGACTGTGAAAAATATGATTTGTGACTGAAACCAAATGTTACTTAAGGTCATTGAACTCAGGCAAGAGTAACGATGTAGGTTCGCTGGTATCGAGCATGAAGACATCGTCAGAGGGTTTTCCCTGATTTTTATCCTCAGGTTCGTCTAGGTACTCGGCATCCTCATTGTCCTCGATGGTTTGCGGTCCCGTCGACTTGTACTGGAATGCAGACTGGGATAGATCGACCTCAACCGGAAAAAGTGTAGCCGAATCGAGAAGTTCTCTGGTATTTGCGTAGTACTTGGAGAGACCAGAAGCGAATTTTTGCAGCTGCCAGACGACGTCCTGGACATGCTTGTTGTCCAAAAGCTCGAGTTTCACAAGAACGTCGGCCCTTAACTTCGCAAATCTCGATCTAGCCTCCTGTCGACATCTCAGGACTAGTCGATACTCGTAATTTCCTGTTTCAACCCGGTACAGAGGCTCCTGGAGAGCTGCGTAGCTCTGCTCTTCGTCGTCCAGTTCTTTCACTTTCAGACAATATGATAAATACTCGAATTTCGCATCCGCGTATTTGCTGATTGTCAGGCGAGTGTCTGGAATCGCTTTGTGGAGGTATGTCCCTAGATCACTCAGGATTGGCTTCAGGGCTTTTAACATTGTTACACCGAATTTTTCCATCTGTCGGTGCTGCTCACCGAATTGACGAAAGGCCTCACTAGCCCGGGGCTGTGGCTCTCGGACTCCAATTGCTGCGAATGCATCGCCGAAAACTGAAATCATAAAATTACTCCACTATTGCTTCACCTATGTTCCTCCTACTTCTAATTGTTTCCTTAAAAGTTGATCTAGATTCATTGAAAAAAAAATATTCACATCTGTGCAAAATGAACAATCAGTAATTACAAAACGTTTTGAATTTCGTAAAAATGAATAACAATGAAAAACGTTCACCTTTATAAATCTGTGTTAAATCAAAAAAGGCATGCAGCATGGATTTAGCATGAGATACAAGGCCTCTGTACAAATTCTCTGTCCTCTGAAGAGCTGTCAGTCGTTGCACCAACGCATCATTGCACAAAATGGCCCTAGAAAGTCCAAGGGCATCAGCAGTTGCACTTCCCATTCCCTCAACGAGTCTGTGTTTCACCTGAAGTTGAAAAATTAAATAATTATTCTCCCATGACTAAAGCTTCATCATCTCCTTGCCTTTTTTAGAGCTATATCCAATGTTTTTCCCTGACGTGGATCGGCGTGTAATTTATTGTAATTCACACTGACTTGTGTGTCGCAGGCCTGAATCATCTTAGCCACTTCGACTTTTGTTTTTCCCTTGACAGATGCCCCATTGACGGCGCACAGCTCATCTCCTGATTGCAGAGTTCCTTCGAGAGCTGCTGGTGTGTTGTCAAATACTTGGACTATGTACAGACAGGGGCAATAAGGGGCTCCACCACCTATACTGATGCCTATTAAATTACTGCTGTCCTTGTGAATCACCACATTACCAGAGGTGATTGTCATACCCCTACAGAAACCCATTTCAATCTAAGTAAATTAATTTCACTGGGTAATCACAAAATACTTACAGAACAATTGATGAAAAAAAATATTGCATTGTGATAGTAAAAGGAATTATTTCAGGATGATTAATCTAATTCGTTAATTACGAGAATAAGCCGAAAGAGTCAATGAACATAATGAAATGAATTAAGATTTCCTGGAAAAACGTCAAACATTGAGGAATAATTAGTTGCCCAAAGGATGGATTGAAAAATATTGATGGCCAGGGGAATTCCTAAACTTACATTTGCGAAATAAACAGCTGATGGTTAGTTGGTGATGGCTGTTGTGCAACCAGTGATACCTCTGGCCTGGGCAGAGCAGTAGATGATTGAAAAGCCACATGAATCAAGACACAAATTGCATAGAAAAGATAGAGAAAAAAAAATAAAACAGAACAGCATACATGCGATCTTCCATCATGATCAGCTCCTCGGACTCAACGTGCTCAGTGAAAATATCAATATTTCCTGTATCTTCTTCCTCGATCCTGGGATTATCACTCAAATTTTTTTTACTGTTCCATGCCAACGCAAAGACGCATGCATGAACAAAATAAATACGACGAAGCACATTAACAATTGCTCGGAGCACATGGAAACATCGACAAAAACATCAGGTTATTATTAATCAGCAACTAACATTTTGTCCTCCTCGAAGAAGAAGTCGTCTTCGAAATCCATTTTGTCAGTATATTAGTCCCTCATTAATCTACAAGAAAAATTATCCTCAGAGTCATGAGAATTAAAATGAATTAAGAAGGAAGTAATATTAAACGAGTGTTAGAATAAATACTGAAGGAAGATTAACATGATATTTAAAACTTGCTTTTTCCCATTGAATGAGCTATTTAAAAGTTAAAAATTCCAATCAAATTCACGCTTTTTTCCGCCGATCCCGGAGATATCGAGTCTTAGAGGATTAGAATTTATTTTCCACGTACCAGAAAAGACGTTCCAGTGTTGTTCTTCAGGATTTCCCGAAATTGCGAGTCTGTTGCGAGGTTTTTGAGAGGTTGAGGTGAAGGCTTCAATAAGCAGTTTACATAGCGGTGGCGTCTGAACTCTGGAAAATTATCCAGAGAGTGTATGCACTTGTGAATAAGGAAGTACCCGAGAATGAAAGTGTCGATAATTTTGATAGATAGTGAGTGTGAATAAGACAGGGCGCGCGGCCCACAGGGTCGATAACAAAAATCAGGCCCAACAAATTTTGAACTTCAATTTATAAGAAATGAAATGGTGGCGAACGTTTCCAGTCCTAAATCCCTCAGTTTTCCTGGTGAACTCCATAATTTAAATTTATGATTTTTAATTAAGAAATAGTGACAGACGCATGATAGCAGTGAAAACTACATCTACAGCATCAAGAGAACTGCATCCCGCTAAAAGGTTATAATTTTTATCAATTTCAAAACCTGTCTCAACCTAGCAGAAAATGATACACATGATCCATTGTTAAAGATATCCTGAAATCCACATTTGCCTCTAGTTTGCGTCAATGAATTTCCATGTGGAAATTCCACCCCAGTAAAACTCCCTTAGACAAAAATTTCCTGGTTTTCCCCCTATAGAATAAAAAAAAATTCAGGCGACGACTATCTGGCGATCGGGAAGTTGTACATAAATTGCTCAAGGGTAAACTCATAAAAATCCTAAAATAGTAATTGAATAATCGAATAAGTCGGAAAAATCTGTCTAAAAACATGAATTAAGAATGAAATTATTACAATAAGTACTTGAATGTACATCTCATTCACTTATTGACAAAGTTCCCAATAAAATCCAACAAATCAATAACGAATTTTGACTTTTAAGTGTAATAATAGAAGAGGAACGAGGTGACATGGTACCACCATCACCCAAGCACCATAACCACATAGCTATTCGACTATTTATCTATCTTTGTCGAATATTAGTGAAGCATACAGGTAAAGGCGCAGGTGCACCCAAACATCGGTGTTGGTGATCAATGGCCTCGATGCCACTGGATGTGTATACACGTGGGCTGGCATGGCAACGCGTTCGATAAATAGTTCAAGCTGCCGGCCACAGTACTTCCGGTTCCGTTATCGTGCAAGAATATCGAACCCCTAATGTAACCCTATGTACTTTGGGTTGAGCAGCTATGCTCTCTCTGCGTGCACGTGCTATATTACAACAACTTTGTAAAGGTGTAGAGCGTACGTCTACGCTAGGCTCGACATTAACGCTCATTTTGCACACGACGTTGATTCGTTGCAGTGATAAGCTCCTTCGATCTTTCGTAGAATTGTAAAACATCACCTATACATCTATGAGCCAGCAATCAATGTACATGAATGCTCCCACTTGATATTCGTGATAACCCATTGAATTAAATTAAATAATCATTAATTGTTGAAGTACAGTTGGGATAGATCTACTCATAGCAAATACTATTTCATTATTTAATTTATATTAATATTAATTTCCCAAAAAATAGTCTTCTGGCTTTTCATAACTCAGAATAGGTTCACCCTTAGGAGCAGTGAAACAATATTTTATGGCTTTTTCAAAATTATGTAATTATATTCATTAAGTTGTTTTAAAGTGGATGTACTGACAGGATCATATACAGGATCATATTATTTCACAGTTTAGGAATTATAGTAGATACAAGGTTTTAGTGCTCCATGAATGAGTGTTTTTATTTTCTAATCACAATGACAATTTATATAAAACACTTGAATGGTACAAGTAACAATAGGAAATGAGAATAATTCATTTTAAGCACATTTTAATCATCTAAATAGCGAGATTTATTTTGCCGCAGTCGTAATGCGGTGCAGCGAGTGATGACACTGTAAGATCCACGATTGTACTTAACACATCTGTGAATTCTTCCAGTGCCAAGACCCGCCAACACCAATTGGCAAATTACTACGTTCCCAAGATTCATACGTCATTATTTTACCCTAATTATTACAATAGGGATAACAACTTCATATACATATTTATTCAATCCTCTATCAATTGAATTTATTGCTTAAGATATGAATGAGGATAATTATTTAATACGTACTACATAAAACTAAATAATATTGTAAGGCTCTTGTGGCTTTTTTTTTCTATTAATACGGCAAAACTCGAGTGACACACATAAATATTGATCGTTGGAGCACTCCAATGAATTTTTACACAGGACTTTGTCATTTTTTTCTAGAAAAAAAAAAAACTACAATCTGCTTTTTATTTTCTTCTTATCTAGCCTATTGATTATTTTATCGCTACCGGCGGGATTGCCATAAATTTTCCAAATCTAGAATATATAACTTGAAAATGAATACCAGAGCTCTGAGAGTTTGCCAACAACCACCCGTGCCTGAACAAAACTGACGGACATGCAATCCTGAAAGGTGCTCGGGTGAGCAGCCAGTGGAACGAAATAGTGGAGGGGGTCCAAAGTAAAATATAATGCGACTGCGCATAGAGGGTGAATATTCACCCCTTTTTCGATGTGTATTCTCAATATATACACATTGTTACGACCATCCCCATTTTCGCCACCCTTCAATGTGAAGTTTCTAGCTTATTAGACCGATTGCAAGAAAGCCCTCTGAATGAAGCTAATCGATAATGTACAATAACCAAATTCTGTCTTAGTCTGCATGAAAAAGTCTTTCCACCTTGATATGCCTTGTCTTCTTCACAAATCCATAAGTCAATGTATTGACATCAGTCAGCATTTTTTATACGTCACCCGTCCACACAGAAAAACTACTCAACTCGTACCAAATGCTTCCCCAATTACCTCACTTCTCATTAAGAAAGAACCTTTTACTAATTATACTTTTGCATTTGGAATAACGGTGATAGCACCTTTGAGAAAAAAAATATATTCTCAGTAATGTACCCTAAGCATTTAATTTCTCCCACAATTTTTCAAGCGTCCACTGCTTCGGAGAAATAATCAATAGGTGAATGAGACTAGAATAAATAATATCCATTAGGTTTGTTAATATTTTTTCATTAAATAGATATACAGTGGTAAAGTATAAAAAATAAATTAGAAAATGCCAAGAATAATTACAATAGTAGAGTAGAATTATCAACTAATAATTCATTCCTCACGATTACATGAAAAATGAAATATTTACATGCTATTTCTCTTTATGGGACAATTCTCGAAAAAAGGCTTCAATGGGAAGTGAAGGTTCATCTATTATTGGGGACAGTGCTTTTTTATGAATGTTACTCTCGAATACCGGCATTACCGACAATGCTTTGAACATTCCTGGTTTATTGTAAAGAGCAGAAGCTGAACTTGTCAAATCCGCGACACTCAACGAAGCTCTCGCAAAAGCTTCTTCATCACTCTGAATGCTTGCATGTTGAGTGGATTTCTCGATCACTTGATCAATAATTTTCTCATCATCCCTTTCTTGATCTGATGAATTTATTGTCATATTTTCCACTGCATCATTGGATTTTATTTGTCCTCTGTTGATTGTCGTGTTTGTCATCACCACAATTTCTTTTTCATCAGGAAAATCTCCTTTTGTATCCATCGGATCAATTGGTGCTGCTGAATCTTTCGAGGTACGAACAATGCTATCAGTACTGTTCTGATTCTTCTTAATTATCTGGTGATTAAATTGCGATGATGTTTTAAGTTGAGGCCTTCGACGTATCGACGAGGTATTGGACTTATTCCCGTTCTCAGAGATATTAATCAACGAATTATTCTCATTATTGTTAATCTCAGTTGTATTATTGGCACCTTTGTTGCGATTAATTCCTGTATTCATTGATCGATATCCAGTAATTTTATTTCTCTTTCCTTCTAATGTCTCCACGGCATTTGTACTTTTGGGAAAATAACTTTGGGTGGAGGATTTTGTTTTTGTATATGAATATCTTGGCGTATATTTATACTTGCCAGTGCTTTTTGTTTTCATGGATGGAGTTGATATTGAAATACTCTCCGTTGTCGATACCTGACTCATTCGGTTTCTATAATCCAATCTACTCTTGTAATCTTTTATACTGAATCTTGGACGAGTATTATTTGTCATTTTCATGGGTCTGAGTCTGTAATTCGGTCTTGTACTTATTTCAACGGGTTCGGGTATATTTGGAATATTGGTGTTCATGTTTTTACCCATGGACGGAGTGAATTCTGACATTCGTGTGCTCGTGTCGTCTTTATTTATTTCTGTAAAATTGAACAGATGCTCCAGGGGAGAAATTGAAGAAGAATAATCGCGTGTTGTACTGCGAATTTTATCTGCCACCTGTGTTGTGATTCCTTCAGGAGATTTGGTCATCATTATAGAACTTGAAGATGGAGTCGATGTCCTGTTAGGATATGCAGCAGTTGATGATTTAGAAATTAATGTACCTCCCTCACTTGCTTGATCCTGACCGAGTGTAATAACCGTTATCAGCTCTTCCGAATTCATTGAATTCTCTTTGTTCTCTCGTTCGAATGTTGAAGGTTTACTTTCACTTCTATAATCATGATAATCATTAGTATTTATTAATGTTTTTGATGTTGAATGGGACGATGGTGTAGCAATGAAATGATAATTATTCAGATCTTCAGGCGTATTCTTGACACTGCTCGAAGTAGGTTGAACTGATACCACCGATGATGTAGACTCGAATTGCAATATCGGTCTTCTACGACGTGTCGCACCTCGACTTTGTGATTTTGTTCTGACAGTTGTCGATTTTTTTGTTGTTACATCTGTAAAAATTGGATCGGTCTCGTTGTCATGAGAAGAAATAGTCGATTCTTTAGTCTGAGTTATTGATGGTTCGTAGGCTCTTGTTGTTGTTGCCTCTGAAATAGTTGTAAAGCTAGGTTTTGTTTCAAAATGCAAATTCGGAGATGATGTAATTCCGAATTCGGTGAAACTATTAACAATTTTGTCAGGGTGAACATGTGTATTATCTTTATGAACTATAATTCTGTGATTCCCCTTTCTCTTTTTTTCAATCAAACCATCAGCATCAGTTGATTTATAAATAATTCCATCTGGATCAGACGTAAAACTTTGTTTAGTCGGTGCAACCTCATGTACTTGCTTTGTACTGTAATATTCATTATTTTGTTGGGTTGACGATCGTCCGTCTGGTGAATTTTTTTCTTCATTCGTTATCTTCACAGCCTCGTAAACTTGAAATTCGTCATCAAAGATCGATTCTCCAGGAGTTGATTCTATTTCTTTATATCTCCCTGTTGATTTAATGGTGCTGGTGATTGGATTCTTGTAACTTTGAATCTGTTCCAGCTTCTGTCTATCACGCTCTAGTAATTGTTGTTGCAAAAGAAATTGTTGTTCATTAAAATGTTTCAATGATATACTTTCCGGTGTTTCGTGACGTATTTTAAGAACATTCGGCTGAATTTTATCACTCAAAATTTGAGGTTTCAATCTATTCTCGGGAGTAGACGTTGTTTTATGTGGCCTATTAAATTCAACTGGCTTGTTCATATTTGGTAATAACTCCGAGAATTTATTGTCCAAAGTTGAAAGTGACCAGCTAGTGGTATTTTTTTTACGACTATTATAGTAATCATCAACTACGGAACCATTCTCTGAATTACTATCATCAAAATTCCAGTGTGGCTCAACATGACGATTATTTGGAATAATCAATGAAGGTTGAAATTCATTACGCTGAGATGACGAGATTTTCGGAGCATAGGGATTCCCCGGATGATGCGTGACGTAATCATTGTAATTATCAACCAAGGGCTTGACTGGATTTTTAATTTCATACAGCGATTTAACAACTGGTGGATGACCAATTTGGGTGTAGAATCGATTATCACCATCGATAACACCATCAGTATGAAGTGGATATTGCCTGAACGAGTTTACCTGATGTTGATCGATATTATCACGAACGTTTTGCATCCAGGAGTGCTTTTGATTGGTAATTTTGTGTGATTCACCAACACTTGGGTATTGACGAAATGAATGATGACTCAATTCATCTCTTGATGGTATTACTCCAGGAAGCTTTTTAACAATCGATGACGCCGATCCTGTCGGTACAAACGTAAACTGAGTATTCAGAGGTGTGTAGATGTCTCGGTAATGGGATGGCCCACTGTAGGCATCTCCGTTTATTTTTATTTTTTGATAGGATTCAATTTTTTGTCGAGGTGGAGGTACCAAAAAATCATATTCATTGGAATTTGAGGACTCGTAATGACTTTTGATGTTATCCACTTCACGATTCTTTGGCATCGAGTGCCCGAAGACACTGAAGCTGCCTAGAATACTTGGTGGTGTGTAGTCCAACTGATGGACTGTGTCTATGGATTTTCGGTGTGGCTTTAAATAATTATAGCTGCTCGCCCTTTTTGAATCAAATTGAGGGACAACGTACGCAGGATAATTACTAGGCAGTGAAACTTTGCCCACATTATCGTACGTTAATAACGGCTGCCATCCACCCTTAACTGAAGGATCCTGAAAAATTGAATTAATCTTAATTCAATTAATCCTATTAATTAATCCTTCAATTAATCCTATGAATCAATCGCGCATTCAATCGAAAACATAAATATCAATCGGACAGATAACTCACTGCATTTTTTACTTGAGCAGTTATTACAGAACAAATTAATGCACTGAAAATCCATAGCATCAGTGAACCTAAAACAAAAAAGAGGATAAAATTGTTTCATCTCGAATCTCCATTTTTATTCTATTATTGTCCATGATAATTAACAATAAAATTGAGGTACTTACGCCAAGATAGCAGTTTCAACATTGTTTCAATCTTTCAGATCATTTGAATAATATTCTGAAAGTAAACATATTATTTAAATTAGTGAAATTTAATGGAATCAATTTTTCGTAAGGACGAATAGAAAAATCTCGTTAATCCCAAGAAATAGCTGGCCAGTAATATTATTAAAATATTCTCCTGCCATCCATTTCACTTAGATCATCTAAATTCATAAGGTTCATTATAAAAACGATACGATATTCCACTAGCGTAAACGCAATGGATTCAATACAATATTCAAATTACTAACAATTCATGTATTAAACGTTCTGTATCCCTAATACACTCGAATTTCATATTTACGTTCTCGTATAGTGAACGGGAAAGTTCGACCTCATTTTTCTGAACCAACTAGTGCACATCACTATCATCAGTTTGCGTTAAAACATAAAACAAAAAAAATGTAACTATTTTTATTAATATCCAATAATTGATATTTTCTCTCAGAATGGATGTAATTTTTCAACTTTTTTAGAACGAACATTTGAAAATTAATAATAGGATCTTATGACATCCCTTCCGCTGATAAGATGCTATTTCTACGAGCCCGGGAGATTTAGCTTCTGATAAGAATGTGTGCAATACTGTACAATTAGTTTATAAATGGTTTAATGATTTTATAAACAATGACTGATATAATCCTATTATAAGGAGCCTTACTTTTCACAACGAAGTAACAACGTTTAGGTCAATTATAATTCAACACTTGTAATGAACTGTTATCAACTTGAGTGCACAATATTATTTATAAATTTAGTGGGTAAAAGAAGAAAGTCATTTTTAAGGTCGCTCAGTCAAACTGACTGCCACGCATGTAAGTACTGACTGAGACGTTCACTAGTTTTGCCACTCATTACAACCGAGACTTAACCGAGTTCCCTCTCTCTATCTCGCAACAATTCAAAAGAAAGTAGGCTTCATCTGACCCCTCCTTTTTCTCCAAACCATATCTCTATCACTTTATGTGAATAAAACACGTGATTCTACGGATTTTCTATGCGATAGAAAGTGGCGATGTTAAATACACTCGCTTTAGCCTCGATCCCCCCGATTATTTCATTTGCACATCCAAATAATTAGCAGTTAATATCATTTCAATACTATATTTTGGGAAATTGACATTTTCTTTCCTTTGAAATGGCGCGTCAAAATTTTTATAACTACGAATACTTATAGAATATCGCGAATTATTAATTTTGAGGAATAAATGTTATCTAACTCTGTCTTCTGCCATGTAAGATGCAATGCATTTGTTCATGTATTTATTGTTGATAGGACTTATAAATTAATTGGATTTTCAGGCCATGAAGACACACGACAGGAATTTCAGATCACCCAGTGTGTTTAGTTGGAGCGATGAAGACACCAATCAAGAACATAGAAATTGAAAAAGAAATTTTATGATTGGTCTACTTTTACGCAGAACGAGTCACAAAATTCTCGATGTATGTCTCATTCATCCGTTTGTATACTCATGCATTATGATTGGAGTACTATAAAATCCATGTTTCAGTGTTTTTTCTTTCTGAGATGCATTGGAAATATTGTCATTTATTAATCATTTATGTTTTCATTATTACACTGATTTCTATTTATGAAGACAAGGAGAGATTTCTTGGGAAATCATTGGCAAAAACACTAATTTTCATGATTACATTCTCAATTCTAACGAATGAATTTCTCGTTCGTGACCAGATAAATTATAAATCTCATTTTAATATATTCAATTTCTTTTTCATTCTCTCAAAGCATTTTAAACCATTGGGTTTACAGTATTTTTTCTGTTCAGTTGAAATTGATAGGTACGGATTAAAAATTTTGGAGTGTCTTCTCTGCCGGAAATGGCTGAGTATCGTAAACGAGAGAAAACAGCTGATCGCAGAGGAGAGAGACGCCAATGCCATGGCCTATGTACAATGTGTGTTGGAGTGAAAAACACAATGATTAGACAGTCGCACTAAATACTGAATAATATAAATTAAAACTGAAGATAATCAGTAAAACACACATGTTTGAAAATCGTCAGTGAGAGATAATGATTCGCAGGAATAGGTAAATCTCAATATATCTGTATATAAGCGGTCTCTTTGTTTATTTAATAAACCATTTATACATAGATAAATTTATATACTTACATCATTCAAAAATGAATTGTTTTTCGCGAATTACATTCACAGCGCTGATTTTATTTTTATAAATAATACAAAAATTTATGGTTATTGGAACGTTTATTGTCGGAGTAATTATTACACCTCATTTTCTCAATTTCTAATTTTGTCTTGCAATTGTAGAAATGAGAATAATATAAACGATGTACATTTTAGAACGAAGCATAAACTAATCGTAATCGCTGTTATCTTGGGATCAACAATATTATACTGTGAATTTATTGCCTACGAGATTCAGCGTCTGAGTTGGGCTAGAAGGGAGTGCAACGAATGCGTTAAAGTATTACTCGTTGCAGACCCACAAATACTGGGTGAGAGAAATGAAAATTATTTTGGGGCCTCATTTGCCAGATGGGACAGTGACAGGTGATTACATTTTTTTGCTGTCAATGTTCTTGGGATAAATAATTTATATCGAGGGTATTATTTCGATTATGTATTGCAACAGATACCTGGCAAAAACATTCAGCCGGGCTATGGGCCATGCTCAACCTGACGTGATAGTATTCCTAGGAGATCTCATGGACGAGGGTCATGTTTCCACAATGCAAGATTTTAGTAGATATAAGAGTAGATTTGATGCTATATTTCAAACACCAGAGCACGTATTGGTAAAATTTATTTGCTATTTTTTATTTATTTTTACCTAAATATCTTCTTGAATGACAAAAAAAAATTCTGCCAACGAAAAATTGACTTTAGAATACATTTCATAATTTTACAAGACATTTTCACTTTCTCGTAATCTTCAAAATTAATAGAAATCTTATCTTTGTTTACTTTTTCTTGTGTTTAGACAATTTATTTGCCTGGAGATAATGACATTGGTGGTGAGGAAGACTCGGTGTCGGCACTTATCCATAACAGATTTAAGTTCGCCTTTTCTCAATCAGATACTTTAATTCATAAAAGTTTGATTTTTTTCAAGGTGAACATACAGAGATAACAAATTTTAATGCATTATCACGAAAGATAAACTGATTAATTAACAGTATAATATCATTTCAGGTGAATCGATTGACTCATTATATGCCAAATGCCCCTAAATACGCTTTTCTCAATGATTATACAGAAAAAAATACAACGAATGTTATACTGAGTCATATGCCACTGTTGTTTCAACCCAATTCGTTCGTAAAAAATGTAAGTAAAAGTGGAACATCCGCCAAATAAGCTCGCCATTAATTTTTGTTTGTGTTTTGTTCAATTGCATTCCTAATTTTGCGTTATTTAAACATTCTGTGAATTACGTGAATACCTAGGTACTCAAGGAGCTTTCACCCCAAGTGATTTTCACAGCTCATGAGCACAAGGCGATGCACTTGAGCCTAGATACAACGATAGATCAACTGAGTGATATTTGGGTCTTACCACCCCACCAGACCCCTCTTTATCAATTACGTTTAGACATGGGTGACATACATGAGCTGCAAATACCGACATGCTCATACAGAATGGGTACACCCAACATGGGCTATGGCTTAGCTTATATAGGTATATATGGATTACAACATTATTTTACATGATTTATTCTTAATCAAAATGTTTCTACTTTTTACAGACACTCGTGACAAATCGGTGGATTTTACAATATTGTGGCTACCCGAAAGATTTCCAAAGCTTAAGGCATACCTCTGGATAATTTCAATAATTATGACTCTCTTCATGTCTAGTTTTCTCTGCACCTGTTGTGCCTGGTCGACTCACGTCGCCTATTCACACTTACCTGCCGTATAGTGATAATTGCATTGAATTGAATGATTCCATTTGCTCTGGCAGCTTTTTCAGGATTAAAAAAAAAAACAGGATTCAATCCATCTCTTGATGAATTATCCGTCCCACCCTTGATTACATAATATATAAACTATTACATTATTCAGCGGATATGATAGTACTCAATATTGTAGGAGAGAAAAAAAATCCAATTGACAATAAATTAATTTTATATACTTCTTGAATTTAGTGGAATCATGTATGGTTCATTTAATTCGTCCTACGATAATCCTGATGAATGATCCCATGGGATAAATGAGGGACTGAAGATATTGATATTAATCAAATGAAGGCATCTTATAAAGTATATGTAAAATACTGTATTTGAGAAAACGAGTACATATATAATAATGTAAGGTTGACATTGTTAGCGACGATAAAAACCGTTGACACACTGCAACAGGTAAAAGTAATTAAATCTAATGCCTTTCTCTTGATGATCATCATATTAGAGCTATCACAATGTGCCTGAAGCACGTTCATCACACTTAATGTTGCCAAAAATAATTTGAATTATCTCTAATAACGATAAAAAATTATAAACAATATGCATGGCATGATATAAGTAACCAGAATAAATATATTACAAATTATTACACCGTGATTATAATGTCTTTTCGATAGAGTAAAAAGGCAATGAAAGCCCAAAGAGTCGTTGTCCAAATATTCATAGCGAGTGCTGAGGCATGTGACGGATTATCGAGTTGCCATGCCCATGGAAAACTTTTCATCGTAAAGTAATGGCCGACATATAAAAATAATGCATTTGTACCTGCATAGCTAAACGGTACTCCATCCCAAAACCTTCGATGATCAATAAAATAGTAAAGGAGTGCGAACAAGATAAAGGCACAGCTACAAGTTGCCAGAACGAATGGCAATGACATTAAATTTTTGCTGAGAGGAATACCTCCTCCTTTGCTCCAGTAACAGAATAAAGCAGCGATTCCCTAGATAAAATATTCAATCAATTGTATATCTTAGAGTTTATTATCACTTTACTTACAGTAAAAGTTGCCCAACAGCACCATCTAATAATCTTGGAAGCATTACCAAGATAGTAACAGAATAATATTCTCCCAGCTTGGACGCCAAATTGAACAATTAGTACTGCCGACAGTGTATTCAAAATACCTGTTGATAAAGAATGAAAATTATGATCAAGTGGATAGTTGCACAGCTGAAAAAAAATTAAAAATACCTTCAGGATCGTGGGGTGCAACAATTCCATAAACTGGGCTATGTGTCTTCATGTACATGTGGTTACCAAATACCGTTCTATCGATATACCCAGCAGCTCCGCCAGTGCAATTAGCATATTGCCCGCCGTACTCATTGCCTCCTGGACCCAAGTATCCTCTAGGGCAACCGCTAACCGGCAGGAGAAATGTTATGAGGAGGTGCGTTGCAGTGAGTCCCAGGACGATCAACCACTGGGGCCAAGCATCCAGGATGTCTTGCAAAAATGCAAATCGTCCGTACTAATAAAAAATAAACGGATGAAATAAGTCTATAAAAGTGTAAAAAGAAAAAACAATAAACCTTTGCCATAATATACCTGATAATTTCTTTGAGATTTCATCCCAATTGTTTCGATGCTCGCACAAATGAAGTAAGTAACACCGAGCAATTGCAAAACCCCCGTAAAACGTAAATCCTGCAATTTCGTTGTGCTTCTTCCATTGATTATTAGTCCCAACAGAATAAGAATGAGACTACGTCGGAAAAATTTCCATATAATGCGAGATCGTGAAATGGAAAGTCGCAAATCTGATTTTAACGAGAGTACAATGGTAAGACCCATGATCCAGGCAAACCAGGGCAATACGAGATCAGCTACAGTCAAGCCGAACCAAGGTGCATGTTTGAAAAAAACGTACTCCCCTCCACCGTTGTTAACAAAAATCATGAGGAGAACAGCGATACCGCGAAAAGCATCAATTGTTTTAATTCTGGTACTGGCTCTAGTGACTCTGATAACTCCCGGTCCATTTTCCGTCTGTCCAGAACTATTCAAAGATTCAGTGTCATCACGATCGGCTCCAGTACTTCGGGATAAAAATCCCCTGACGAATATTATGAAACATTTCGTTGTTACATTTACAAATGCACTGATTGTCAGAATAATAAAAACAGTTAAAATCGGGAGATACGGATTGGTTGGCTCCTCGATAGTATAAATGGATGAGCAAATCGAGCCACGGGATATATTCCATCCATAATGCCCGTGTTCTACGAATCTGTATGTATTATGACACCATTGAAGTTTGTTTTGTACATAATACATGTGCAGAGGCCATTTGGTTGACACCGACAATGTTGTGTTACTATTAGCTGATACATTTGCCCACAATTGATTGAGACAGGCATTGCATTCATTGAAGAAGGAGTACAGTGATACTGAAGTGTTGTAATCATTAATTACACTTACGCAGGCTTCATCTAGCCCGAGAGTTTTGTTCGGATTTGTGCAATGGTCATTCATTTTTCCAAGCATTGTGCAATAAAAACACACCACTATCACCACTACGCAGTATAAATATCACACGTGAAAAAATATTAATGAATTGTCATTTTTTGACAATTGACAGCGACGAGGGCCAACAGTAATCCTGATTTTTCGGTTATACGTACTGACGAAGTGACGATCAAAAAGGATTGACTAAAGTAGAGGCTCAGTTCTGGGGGTTTGAGTGAACCTAGCGGCGTCGTAGTAGTGCACCCCAAGAAAGGGAGGGCACCACACGCAATGCTGGGGTGTCCATCGAGTAAAATGACTGATCAGAATCTGCACATTACTCCATCTATTATTAATACTACGTATGCATAAAATATTCAAATAGTCATTTATTAATTATACAAAATTTTAAATTGTCCCATCGAAAATCTTATATCGGAGTAATGGTCAAAGCAGTAAGTATATTCATTGTTTGCTGAACTGATCGTGACGAACATGAACTGGAATTTAATCCTGAGGATAAACAACTCCAAGTTGCCTACGGAGTTCACCTTCAATTTCAGCAATACGTAAAGATTCGGCGTGGGATACCTTGGGGCTCTCCTTGAGACCTGAAAAATATATTAACATTATTATAGCATAGATAATCCATTACTGATTTTTAATGAATACAAACCTGCTTTAATGCACTCTCGTGCTTCCATCGCCTCAAATCTGAGCCCAGCGCTGTTGATGAAGTTAAACTGAAGTGGTGCTGTCGGCAGGGGATCCTCGATCGTACCAGAAGGCAATTCAACTTTCACTGGACACCAAAATTGTGGAATCTTAATAGTACCTTTTGTACCAATAATGTAGGCTTCATTGGGCAAATCGATCAATGCATGACTCATGATTGTGGCGGTGCGATTGTTACTGTACAACATAGTAGCAGACATTGATTGATCAACACCATCGTTATTGAGAAAACCTGCAGCTTTTATTGACAACGGGTGCTCTCCATCGTAAATAAATTGAGCGAGTTGAATTGTGTAGACACCGAGGTCGACGATAGTTCCACCGCCTTGGGCTTTGTTACTGCAAAAAAAAAGAGTAAAATAAACAGTCGTTGATAATGGAGAGTAATAAATGATTGTAATATGAATTCTTACCTTAGACGCTGTAGATCTGGCATTCGAAATCCAAATGCGGCAATTACTTGCTTCACATCGCCAATAGTTCCAGACTGAATCTCCTTCTTCACTCTCTCATACAGGGGAAAACATCTGCTCCAAATGGCCTCCATCAAGAACAATCCCTTTTCCTTAGCAAAATTTATCAACTCGGTCGATTGTTTCACATTCAATGTCAAGGGTTTTTCACACAAAACATGTTTTCCATTCTCCAACATCAATTTTGCAACTTCCAAATGCTGAGGGTTCTGCACTCCGACGTAAACAATTTCTAAATACATTTAGACAATTATCATTTTAGCTCATTGTTTCGTGTTTTTTTTTTCATTTTTTATATTTTTACGATTGTAATGAAGATAATATCTCACCGACATTGGAATCTTTCGCAAGTTCTTGGTAACTTCCATACGATTTCTCAATATTATGAAGTTGTGCAAATTTTTGAGCCCTGGTGAGATCTCTAGCAGCAACACCCACAGCTTGATGTTCGGTATTTGGTAGGGTAGCCAGAGCATTAGTGAAATCATGAGAAATCTTTCCAGCACCAGCGATGCCCCAACGTGTAGCCATCTAAGTAATAAAAATTACGAAATTATAATATTTCAAATTATCGGAATGTATTTGAATATTCTCGAACATAAATCTCATACTTAACCTTGCAATATCTTGAGATTTTACAATATCAATCAACAATCATAAACAATCTGCTTCCCACTTTGGAATGTGATCTTCAACTTATACCACCGTATCCTGATTACAACAAATAAAAAAGATTTTTTTCAATCGTTATAAGTATCATGATACGGATAAATATATATAAATGTTTACGTTTCTTTACCCAATAGTCAAGTTGAATCAATTACGTAATGTGCAATTATCTACAACAGAATAGAACTTCAGAGATTACAAATGCAAAAAAATGCGGCAGAATTGAATGGAATAATTCGTTCACCGCGTACTGACGACTATGTGCGCTTATATTGCTGATGCACCGGATAAATTTATTATTTTCGTGCACTGATATCCCAGCCGCAATAATGATAAACAAGTAGTCAACAATAATTACCGCATCCCTTCTCCACATGATATAAACATCCGTAATGTGACGTGACACATGTTCGTATCCTTATTTGCGTTTCAAATTTTTTTTTTTCGGGAATGTGCATATGCTTCCATCTAACAACTCAAAATCAATTCTATCATTACATGAAATGCACGAGAAATTTCATTTCAATTAACCTCGAGGATCTTTGAGAGACAGCCGCTGAATAATTCGGAAATAAAAGGATCCTGAGGAAGAGCTTAATACATGACAGCTCCTGATGATAAAGATATTGATGGAAGTGAAATAATGACTTATAATTGTCATAGTGTAAATGGCCAAAAGGTGAGGCTCGATCGACTCTACAAAGTAAGAAGAGTTGGAGGATTATCCGAGAATTCCAAGGATTTGATTTATAAATTGATGAGTTGGTAGGCCCGGGGATTCCCCGACAAGATAATGAATGGTGGCTAGCTGATGATAGATATGGAAGCCGACTTGATACATCGCGATTTTTTGTTGCGAGAATCGAGATTTACCGAGTTGAAAGGAGGTTTTATTGAAATATCGAGTCGACATATCACTAAACTAATACTAGAGAGTTTGAAAGAGTTTTATTCGGGGATAATTGACTCAAAACGGGACAAAGATCATGTGAAAAATATCGAAGGATTGCTGAGAATCTTGGAAAGAAGGGAGGTGTTGAGATATGATTTAATAGAGCCATTGAAAGTTATTGCTAGTAAGTATATCAAAGATGAGATATTGAATCGAAGATTGGCTGATTACGAAGAAAAACTCAAGAATGAAGGACCCCTGCTAGCAATCAATCATTACAGGTATAGGGGTGAGTACTCTGAGCAGGATCAAACAAGTGAGATTGAATATTTATTAAACAATCATCATAATTACAATGGGCTTGATCACATGCTTGATAATAAGAATACTGATCCTCACGTTGAGAGGATACGTACAGAGTTTGAGAAAACTGAAGAACAATTATTAATTCAACAAATAAATGTGAAAGCGAATGAACTCTCTGGATCAAATAACTCCATGTCTCACTTACCTCGCGTTCATTATTTATTCAACGCACGTAAATGGGGAAGAAAGTCCTTTTTGATGACAATATTATCCACTTTTCTCTTGATCTTCATTGTCATGATTTGTATCAATTTAATCAATGGCCTATCATCGGCAGTTGAACGGTCCAGTCCAAGTGCTTCACGGAATAAAATAAGTCAGTCACATGCTGTGAATTTTTATGATACTGCCCAGACAACATTACCTGCTGTCATTTATCCGTCAACTTTATCCGTCGCACGCACTACCAGTCATTCTGCACCAGATATTCAAGAGAAAGGTATGATTTAATTTAACGAATGATATTTTAATAACGCATTCAACATCAATTATTTACATTTATCATTCCAGTTTTTCGAAGAGTCTGCGAAAATTTGGGTAAATTTTGGAGAGACTTGGCGAGATTTCTCGGTGTTAAAGAAAACGAAATAGATATTATAGATGCTAAATCTCATTTGGAGATAAAGGAAAAAGCGTACGAGGTAGAGTTCAATGTATTTCTTGTTTTTAACGTAAATCGTATAAATACTCTTGTATTGAATGCCTTCAGGCTCTATTGATATTCAAATCGAGATGTGATTCCTGCAATTGGAAGATAAAAATGCAAAATGCACTGGTGAAGGCGCGGCGAAAAGATCTGGCAGAGATGATCAACGAGATTGATGATCGATAATTTTTTACTCCCCATCGAAAGAAGACAATAATTTTTCATATAAATCGTGTATTATTGTTAGATTGAAAAATACAAAGAATATTCTAACGATTGATTGAGTATGTATATATTTTTTTCTTTGTTATGAAAATTCGAAAAAACGTACACTTAAGGTGAAAAGATTCACTTTTGTTGAGTTTTATATTTTCTACGGTTTAGAAACAATGTCTGCAACACAGAAACACAGCAGCCCGCACGTATTTCTCATACACCTAATGAAAATAATTATGATACAATGTTTCTCTCCCCCAATGTATTCTTACAGCTTACAATGAGTTGTTTGTTCAGCGGGAAAGATTATTCAACTATAATTGAATAAAAGAGAAAGGAGAATGAATATTTATGCTCAAAAGTTTTTTTGAAAATGATTTTGTATGTCTGAAAGCATTTCCACTCCAAAATAAACATCTTGAAATAAATTCTCTCTCGCATCATATTTTTGTTTAGCTTTCATCGTGGTATTTTTCCAATCTGATGCATTATTGATGTTCAGAAAACGATCATCAGCGAAAGCCACTGCCATTTAAACCTGATAGGTATTTTTGGTAATACTTCCAGCCTTCTCCATGGTGTCTTTGTGCACTTGATATCCTATCGTCTGTCGTTGATTGATTCCCAATCGGTCTTTCAATTTTCTCCTGTGAATAGAAAATGGAGAATAAAAATTAAATTAAAAAATTGAATATACGTAATGAATATTCTTAAACTCACCCAATTTCCATAACGCTCTGCGATTTAGTAGCATCAGCTGTCCAGGCAGCCAGCTTATCTCCCTTTGTTCTAATATTGACGACAGCCCCACAAACATCATCCGAGTAATCATCGAAAGCCTCACCAATCATGCAAAGCAGTATTTCGAGCCAAAGACGATCAAGATCACAACTCCTCTGCTTTTTCTCCAAATGCATGAGCCATCTGCCACCCTGTTTGTTGGCATCGTCCTCCCACATTGGTCGAATTCCTTTTTTGAACATACTGTAATCACACCCCTGTTTCAGCTCAGAGGCAAAAATTATGTGATTGTATAACCTGAAATAGTAAAAATAAAGATTTCCCATGCAATTCTTGAAGAGATTTTTCATTTATCCAAAGTGCATTAATCACATATTTTAAGTAGATATGCTTAGTATGTAACAGCAACGCTTACGCCCAGAAATCCTCAACAGTATCAAAGCTAGAAATTTGCCGTTGACTCTCTTCCCATGTCTTTTGCCTGTCTGGGGCATAATACCAGAATGTCCATGTATTTTGGAGCGGATGCTTGATGAGAAGTTCAGGAGGATATTCCTCGAGATTAGCTGCCGCCTGCTCTTTCTTCTCGATCTCCTGATTGAACGGATAAATATTTCCATTATTGCCTGGATTATTCGTCGATTATTTCGTCATTCCAACAATTAACAACTGTATATAAATGATTCAATGATAAATAGGGTTATGACTATTCCTGCAGAGACAGACAAGTGTATGGGGCTGTCTGTATGTGTGTTGAGAAGAGGAGGAGACGGGTGTACCGACCGGAATGACCATGCTGACACTTCAACACCCATTAATTTCCTCAAAAAATCATTTCAATTCTCCATCCAATTATGTCACAACACTATTCATACATAATAACAATGGATTTTCAATTTTCTTTCAACATCATACCTCGATTTCTTCCGTATTATTAGTAGCCATGTCACACAGTGATACACGCTAATACACTCACAAGGGAAAGACCCGTCCCCTCCAATTCCAAATTAATAAAACCCTCGGAGACATCTAGAGGATAAATTCCAATCGGGATTGCCATATTTGCCACCACAGACGAGTGGCTTTATCTGGAGATAGAACTAGGGGGTTGGCACCCCTGGTCATCCCTGGCCACCCCTGGCCACCCCTAGCCAACCCTGCTATAGCGCATAGCATAAGTATTTGCCGTCCACAATGAATGTGTCCCATTGGCCCCATTGATGGTTATTGGAATAGTGCGTTTCGAGTACTGCATGTCAAAATAAAATAGTACATCCAATCACTAATATATAGTTTTGGTGAATTCTTAATATTCGAATTCCAGGTGATACCTGGTGCAATTGACATTATGAATCGTCCCGTGAGTTGCTTCTATCAGTTTATCAATTTATTCAAATATATATATATATATATATTTGTATATGATCATCTCATTTTTCAAAGCATTTTATAAACAACCCCATTGAAGGTTAGGGAGATTATAGACGCTGCAATGCATTTGAATGAGTTGTTATTATTATTAATCCCCCAAGCTATTTTGAATATGTAAAATTTCCTCGAATATGAGAACTTTCATTTTATATTTTTTATAGCACTTTTGTATGTCGATATTCATAGTAAATAAAAGGTATATTTGAAATAGTTGTATTAATAATTGATTGATTTTCAGAGAAATGGAGAAGCTAGTGATCAAATAAAAATGGTATACAGCAAGACTGAGACTGCAGGAACAGCAGCAACAGCAGCAGCACCGTATGGGTATGAGAGTGCATATCCAACGTATACAATAGCTTCTAGTGGACAAACGGTAACGCAGCCACTGCCTGGGCAGCCACCATTGCCACCGATGCCACCGCCAGGAACATTGCCACCACTACCAATGTTCTCGGCAATGACACAGGTTCCTCAACTTCAGACGTGGCCACCTACTGGCCCTTGGCAGTGGATAACGCCCCAGGCTGCAGCCGCTGCTGCTGGTATACCAGCACAGCCTATGCGGGACATCAACAATATGAGCAACTCGTTGAAGACAAATCGAACCGGAAATTATGTTCGTAGGGATAGATTTAATCATCATCACAGTAGAAATAATGTTTATGCACAGAGAGGCAATTTTAATCGTAATAAAAATAGAAGAAGATTCGAGCAGCATCAACAACAGTCAGGACAATTTGATCCTGCTACTGCCACCACTCCTTATTGGCAGGGGATTGACTGGCAGAGGGGGAATTTCACTGGTGCACACAGTGATGGGCTTGTAGGTCAACATATGAACCACCCAATGTCAACGCAAATAAATAATGTCGCTGGGAGTAGTAAATCCGATAAATCTGATGCTGTTGGAGATCATGAGGATAAAATAATATCGGAAGTACCTGCGAAAAAAATCAAACCGAGAAAGCCAATGTCTCAAAGTTATCCAATAAGAAATTGGAATTTAGAGGATGCAATAACTGCATTGAAAGTGGAGAATGAATACAATCGGACTGTTCGTGCCCAAAGTTTAATAATAAAGTTTCCTGATCCAGATTTAAATAAGGATATTGTCAGAGAGTTTCACGCTGGCATTCAAAATATACACTTCCAGAGTCCCAGTGGTCCACGGTATTGCTTCATTCAAATGTCTGAAGACATTGATATTGACAAGGCCATTGAGGATTTGGAAAAGATACCATTTGGTATTGGAAATTTGAAAGTCGAGAGAAAATCATTGAGGGATGAGGATTATCCACAACCAGAGGAAATAGATCCTTATACACTGTACGTTGGTAATTTACCAGAGTCCGTCAATGTAAACGAGGTAAAGAATAAATTTCCTACAGCAACGAGAGTTGATGTTGGATACGCTCAAAAAATGAGAAATACTCGCTATGCATTTATTCGGTACGCAAATGTCGAAGACTCGATAGCGGCGTACAAAAAGGCGCATGATCTTATGTGGGATACAAGAAGTATTATCGTCAGATTTAGGAGACAACGGGGTAATACGTGTCTACCTGGTGAAACGAAGAGTAACTCAAAGAAAGTCAAAGATGAACTCGAAGAGGGTGGAGTTCAGAAGGAAAGGATCTCGTGTAATACCACCGAGAGTAGCATGAAGGCCGATATCGCGAGTAAAGAAAATAATTCGATCCAGCGTGATAAAAATTCGGTTGCACCAACTGCCATAATTCAACAACAGAATCAACCGTGGACGTCAAAATCACCACCACAGGCCGCCGAGGCTGCCGAGTCTCCAACGTCTCAGGATCCTACTCGTCATCCTTCCACAGACGAACAAATTGGATTAATGACAGAAATTAAAGAAGAACCTCAAGATTACGAAGAAATGGATATGTCGTATATCGCTATGGGTGACGATGACTCTGATGATGAAAACGACGAGCCCGATGAGATGATTGATACCACTGATGAAATGGATGAAAACGATAATGAACCGGATAATAATGATGACTCCAGAGATTGTGGAATTAAAGATAAACCAGATGATGATACGAATTCTGACGCTCCTGACGTAAGTTTTTTTTTATTTCGTATTAAAAACGGATTATTATAATTATTTGTTTGCTTATAGAATTTCTATTTTTCCTTTCAGCATTTGGATCATATGTTCAGTGCCATTACGAATATTGCTGGAGACATTGAAATATAAATAATCGGTGGCAGTATACCACTACACAATCCAATAATTCAATATCGCTGAGAAACTCGACTTCCACCACTGAAAGGCATGACAATGTAAATATGAAAAATTTGTAAAACGCTTCGTACGCGTGACAACCAAATAATTAATTTCTATTTGTCTGGTAATTATTGACCAAACATATAGTATAACTTTTTGTGCACCTATTATTTTCTCTTATGAATTTTGTCAAATTCAGCCCAATGGAATGATGTGTGTAAAACTTTATTAACTGTAAATTAAAACACAATTTTTTCCTAATGGCATTGCTAATGTTTACTAATCCCTACTAATCGTCATTCCTATTTAATTATTGTTTATCTTAAAATTCGCGTTGATTAGTGGAAAAAGTCAGATAATTTTTAGGAATTTTGCCAAATAGTGACAATTGTACACCAATTGACGTGAAGAGTCGGATAAATTCGTTTTAATTAAAGGGAAAAGGAATTGAATAGTGGCGGGCCGATGTAGGCATCGCATCTCGGATGCGCATGCGCACTGATGGCTGATGAGAGTGAAAAGCGCGGGAGAATGAGTCAATGGATGCACGAGGTGAGGGGACAAGAGAGTGGGGAATATTCCGAGGAATATCCGATGCCGAATGCCGATGCTTTGTTCACTTTGGTTGCGTCGTTTGCCGGTTGTTCCCGGTCGTTCCCGGTGGTTCCTCCCCAATTCCTCGCACCCAAGATTGCCCCAAGGGAGCCATTATTTTTTTCAACGATCAATTATTCACATTGCAATAAGTGATAATGTTCGAGGCACGTTTGATACAGAGTTCAATCCTCAAGAAGGTTTTAGATGCAGTTAAAGATCTGCTGAATGAGGCTACCTTCGAATGCTCGGATTCAGGTATTCAGGTACAAGCCATGGATAACGCCCATGTATCCCTTGTAGCCTTGAACCTCAGGAGTGATGGATTCGATAAATACAGATGTGATCGTAATCTATCAATGGGCATGTCAATTGCAACGTAAGAATATATTTTTTTTCAATTTCTTTGACTCTCTGGATCTTTTGAAATAGGTTATGTTCTTTGATAGGAATAATGTGATTATGTTTTTCTTTAGCATGTCGAAAATTTTGAAATGTGCCGGACCGGAGGATACCGTTACTTTAAGGGCTGCCGATAATCCTGATACTGTGGCATTTATTTTTGAGTCATCGAACAAAGAAAAGCTCGCCGAATATGAGATGAAGCTCATTAACATGGATCAAGAGCATCTTGGAATACCGGTAATCATTTATTTTATTCGAGGTTAATATAAAGGGTAATGCTCACTCCGAAATTTGAATTTTTTGTATATGTTGTTCGTAGGAAACATTTTACTCTTGTGTCGTAAAAATGTCGTCCCACGAGTTTGCTAGAATTGTTCGTGATCTCTCTCAATTTGGTGAAAATATCACGATAGCGTGCACTAAGGAGGGAGTTAAGTTTACAGCCATTGGAGACTCTGGATCAGGTAAAAAATTATAAATTCACTCACCTCTAACGTAAAAACTCTTGACATCAGCATTCTAATGCGACTTTCTTCAACGACTATTTCAACGAAACTGAAATACTTCGGATTATAAACTGCCCACAGACAAAGGACACGAGAGCTTCGCTATTGTCTTGTGTTTATCTATTTGTGTTCAACGTTGCGCGAGGGGAGAAAACAAAAAAGAAAACAATTGAACTTTGGTTACTACATGAGTACTTGCACGAAAATATTGACAAATTTTTTTCAAGGAATTGGCTAATGAATTTTCATCATCTCATCATTTGAATGAAAATTTTCAATTACTCATCATTCATAGGCCATTTTATCGATCTTTTTCTTATCATCATTCACAGCCAATGTTAAGCTGGCACAAACTGCGGATGCATCAGAAGAAAATGACGCTGTGATAATCGAGATGCAGGAGTCAGTGAAACTGTCTTTCTCCTGTCGTTACTTAACTTGCTTTGTAAAAGCAACTCCGCTGTGTTCTCAAGTCCAGCTCTCTATATCCAATGACGTGCCCCTCGTCTGTGAGTACAAAATCGGCGACATCGGTCAAATCAGATATTACTTGGCTCCCAAGATCGATGACGAGGATGACAATGCATAAATACACCACATTGTAAAATGTGCCTAAAAATCTTGGACTGTCATGGAAAATCATCGATTCACACATCATTAGAATGATTTTTCTCATTTTCCGATCGATGAAAAATCGTTGAATAAATAAACGTGCCTTGATATCAGTAAAAATTCACATTCAACTATGATGGAGCTATTTTTTTATACTTTTTCATAACATAAAAATGAGTATTTTTCCAATATAATATATTATTCAAATTTTACATTTAAAAGTTAAGTTTGGCTCGTCGCAGTACTAACATAAAGTCAATTGACGCTACAATATTGTGTAGTTGGTCAATTCGTTTCATAATTTGCTGAACAAAAAAGTTGTATATTCATGTTGAACATTTTTCATCTCAAAGTTATGAGTAAAAATGCTCACCGCTCTGTCAACTGCGACTCTAGTTTTTTCATAGGATCATTTACTGTAAAATGTCCATCTTCTCTTTTTTTTTGAAATACATAAGAATATAATACAATTTTCATTAAAGAAAGAGTTATTTAAATTTCTCAGATGTACTGTTTCCTGTCTCGATCCTCCATGGAAATCGGCCTACACAAAATTTCAAGATACTCTCCACTCTCAATTTCACCTCAAACCTTCAACCCTATTTCATACTTTATATAGGCTACTTTAATATAAAAATACATAATTAACTTACGAACTGGAGGGGGGGAGGGGGGAGGGGGCGATTGAATAGCCTTGAAGTACTTTATAATTGTGATGAGAATCTTAAGAATAATTTTCTTCGATTAATCTCTACTTTTAATTTCTTTTTCATTCGTTTCTGAATGGAGAATAATATGTTTTAAAGTTAGGGTAGGAGAAAAAATACTTAATCATATATTACAATTTGCATTATTTGCAAAAAAACGCCCTTTATACTCCATTTGAGTCATTCATCGTTCCTGTCTTTCTGGTTTTATCATCATTACCTCACTTACACTTGTATCCATACACTCTCGAGGTACTTGTTCTATCCAGACTAATTATGGATCACTTAAATCTTTGGTAAATTCAATAAGTAGGTTCTTAAGATAATTTGATGTAATAATTAAAGAGATTGTTTTCCACATTTCAAATTCACAAGTCAAAGTTGCTTCTCCCTCTATTTTGGCAATAATGATCAGCCTCTTTGGTGTGGAAAATTCGTGATTCAATTATTTTTTATTATCCATGTAACCAGGATAAAGGAAAAATTCAAACTGAATAGTATAATTATATTACCACTAATTCGACATTTCTCATGAATATAGACGGTAATTTACTCCACTCGATAAATTGGATACTGAATTAAAAAATTACCAAATAAATGAGTAATCAACTGTGGTTAATCTGGTTACATTCGATCGATGGAAATGTATATTGTGAAAGACAAAATAATGATCTTCAAAGAGAAAGAAAACCACTGGTAAATTAAAGTTGCCATGTGTCAAGGCAATATTTTAAAATGTCTCCCCATCATATATTGTATTTTGTTATTTTTTAAATTCAATCACTGCCATGCTATTGAGCATTTCTCATATTTTGTTTAATTAATGTTTAAATGGATTGTTGGAATTTCACGTGTGTTTTGTTATTTCAATCCGAGGAGGCGGAATCGCCCAATTCCGCCTAGGTATTTTTACTCCCATTACTGCCGTACAGACTTGGATGCACAAATTTATCGTGCAGCGTTCTCAGATGCCTCAGTAGATTACTCTTAACATTGAATCCTTTTTTACAGTATGAACAAAGAAATGGCTTTTCACCGGTATGCGTTCGCTGATGAATGACCATCGATGCATGACTTGGAAATACCTTTTGGCATATGTTGCAGAGCTTCTGATGATTATGGATACGCTTAGGTTTTGGAGGGGCTGAGTTGTTCATAAGAGCCAATTGCTCCTCTGTATGTTCAGTTTGAATGTGACGAACCCATTCCTGTGGTGTTGGGTACATATTGCCACACAGATCACATTTTAAGGGTGGAAAATCTTTACCATCATCATCATCTCCCTGTTATATCAAATACATCAATCAATTAACTTATCCACGCATTACAATTACAATCGAATGATTTAGTTACCTTTCTTTTTTTCCTCCGATTTTCTGTCATATCGGCGTGGGTGAATTCAATGTGTCTCACCCAATCTGAGGGACGATTGAATGTTTGACTGCACATGTCACAGGTCAAAGGAGTGTATTCCTCTTCCTCCATATCTCCATCTTCATCACCACTGTGTACGATTTCCTGCAAAACCAATATAATCACATTCAAATGGAATTACCAATTTTATTTTCAATGACAATGTGTGTAATTGATTGAAAATGTTAATCTCACCGGTTTGATGTCAATTTCATGATCTATTGTCAAGGATTCAGATGGATCCATCGATTCTTCCCAATCAATTGGCTCATCTTTCACTAATAATTCCAAATTCAATTCAGCCTGAAACAAAGGTGACGAGATTTAAGTGACGAGGTGAAGAGATTTTTTCATAAAATATTTGATTAAAAAAAGAAAATAAACATAATATACATTTTCTCCATCACTTCGACTCGACTTGTTGGACTCCGCTTCACTATTGCTATTGTTACTCCGCCGCTTTTTGGCATTGCCCTCGAAATTCTCCTTATTCTTATTCTGATCATTACTCTTGCTCTCTTCATTAAGACCTAGTTTTTTCCTCTCTGGTGTGTCATTCCTTGTCTTGTTCTCGTCACTCGACTTATCATTTTGAGTGTTTTTCTTTTCAACCGTGGACGACGATTGAATAGGCGTTTGCGTTGGCACCGTGCTTGTTGTTGTTGTTGCGGTTGTTGTAGCTGTTGTTGATTTAGCGGTTGTGGAAGTTGGTGCTGATGATTGAGCCGTACCATCACCAGTTGCAGCAGCCGCATTACCAGACTTTTCATACGCAGTTGGCTGAACGAGTTTTATCTTCTGAATCTGACCTGACGCCGACTGCTGCTCCTTTTTGTCCCTCTCAACTTTTTGATTATTCGACTGAATATTCTCCTTTTTACTCGTGGAATTTGATCGCCATAAGCCACGCACCCGCAGAATATCACCGGCTTTCAAAACTCCCTCCAATTGGTCATTGGTAACGGTTGCTTCACCGCTGTACATGTATTGAATGAGAATTTTAAGGGTTCGATAGCCAATTTCTGTTGGTAGAACCTAGAAAAACGAAATATCAAGAGTCCATGGCGATGGATTAATGATAACATGAAGTAGAAGGAAATAAACTCACCACAATAATTGGAGCATTGGTATTGGCTCCAAAATGGCATGTTTGAAAAATATGACTGAGATAGGAAGAGCAGGCGGCGAGGACAAAGCGATGAGCAGCAACGTGACGTCCACACGATGTAGCCAGTAGAACATCGGCAAATGACTCGGAGTGCAAAAGTGTTGCGACAGAGCTGTGAAGATGAGCTCCATAACTGTGCCACTTCAGTTGATAATTCTCCGATGCAGCGATCGCCATTTTTTCTAATCATTCACCAACATATGTAACAAATCCTTATTATTTACACTGTTAATCCTCAAAACTTTTTTCGTAACATTTTTCTTTTCATTAAAAACGTGAGAAAGCGTTGAACAACTGGCATCCAGCACTCGTTTCGTCCCTATTGTTGGCACAATCGATTCAAAAAACTACGTTTCAAAAAGCCCCCATAGTATATCCCCCTTCTTTCGTACACCTATGTGCCCACTATTCAAGACACCATTGATTCTCATTGACAATATATATACATGAACATGGGGTACACCATTCGAAGAGTTGGCGCCGAAACATTCGTCTAATAATCTTAATCAAACAAATATTGCTTTCCTAAAATTCACTCTAAAATTCACTCTCTCAAATTTTTATCAAGCATTAATTATCTCTAAAATAAATCCACTGCACCAGGACAGTATACATTACCCAAATACAAAGAATCTCAAGGACTCAATAAAAGCATCCGACTCAATAAGATAAAAATGAAAGAGATCTGGATATTTTTTATAATAAAATACAATGGTTTACCTGACGACGACATAGCTCGTCGATTATTGGAATATCCCTTTAATTGGCGATCCGTGGATATTCAGCGAGTGTCACAATGTCAAAATCCAATCACGAGTAAACGATGATGAGGTGGCTGTTGGTGTATGAGTTAGACGACGAAATTGATCAAAAACATTGAAATACGTTAGTGAATTGCGTAGAGTCGACGCTGAGTGTTTTGAAAGGCGCTTAGCGGACGGGACACGGGGCAGATATGAGCATCGAACCGCCTCGGTAGGGACCTAAAAATCGATATTTCGGTCTTTGCTCCATTCCCTATCCGGGTGTGTGGGGTTCAACCGTGTACGTAGTACGTACCCGCCGGCTGGGTATGGCTTAGTATTTGCAGGATAGAATACAGTCGAGAGTAGGGTTGCCCCCCTCGTTCACCTTTTCCATCATATCGATTTTCAACCCTGGCTACCAATCGCACGCATCCATTTATCCTATCGATCGGTTGAGCTGATTTCAGCGTTTGCGTCTCCCGTTCCCTTCCCCCATTCGCCATCTCCCTCGTTCATCCTTCTTCAGCACCCTGGCACCGGCACCGGCACTTGCCCATACCCATACCCATGTCCTATTCAACCCCCATGGCCCCTTGCCCCATTCTCTTCCACTCAACCACAACTTCTCTCTCTCTTTCTCTCTTATCTTTTGCACAGATCACAAATCTTTTATTGTTATTATTTATTTATTTATTGTTTTAGCTCCTATTGACTCTCTTTTACTCGTACCACTCATACGAAAGCGTTAGAGGATTTTTACTCGACTGACCTCAGGTGAAGCGCAGTAAGTTTAATTAGGGGGATTACAAATTCGAGGGAGACATGTGTTTTATGTGACACAGAAAAGTCGTGACAATTGTACCTCTTTCGGATTTTATATCTTATTAAAAAAATTGATAGTTATCAATGCTAATTGGAGGTGATTTTGCTACTGAAGTTTGATATGGATAATTGAAAAATTAAAAGAGCGATTTGTCTCTGACTTTCCAAGGAATTTACTGGGGGGTACCTGGAAACGCGGGATTTTTCTTTTCGCTTTCATACATTATGATGGAAAATATAAATATATGAAGTATGAAATATGAAATATTAAATATGCATTAGTGGAGGTGTAAATTGGAGAATTTTCGCATGGTCACGTGACTTCCGAGAAAAGTTGAAGAAATAACCGGAAGATGTCGACAGTGAGATGTGTTGCCAATGGACGAACACACCAATACCCATCCATGGACCTATCTATATACAAACACCTATCTATATGCAAACAATCACATGAACATGGGTTGAAAATCGTCTTGACGATGATACTGTCATTGCTCAGTGAGTGAATAAGTTATTAAAGTGAAAATTAGCTCCTTCATTTATTTAACTTTATGAAAAATGGTTGAAAAGTTTGTAATCAATGTGAATTAAATTTATAGAAATTGAGTGGTTTATGCCGATTACTTAAACTCGAAATGATACTGTGAGAGAGTTTACAGGTGTTTTTCTCATGGATTTTCACGCATTCCATCGAGAAAAATATGATTGGAGCGAGTATACTTGGAGTCAGCGGCCTTACGCATCGTAAAGATGATCCAAATAATGTGGGTTTTCTCCTTTTATTCTCTACCTAAATCCTATTCTCTCTCCGTTTTTTTTTTCCTTTCCTAATTTTTAATTTTATTTTTATTATTGGATTATTGATCACCAGTGAATCATGGGAATTCGGAGCTATGAAAATAGGTTAAATCGATGAAGAAGGAAAACTTTTGATAAAGACGAATTTCACATTCACTTGATTTATAATTTCGTCCTTTTGTTAGTTAAATATATTAGCTCACTGTGAAAAAAAAAGTTTCCTCGATTTGTCGAATGTCCTGCAAATCAAGCGTCTGTAATATTTTTTTTTCGATTTTTCACAGCTCCACGAAGAAGTTGTTAATGATTTATCGTCTCAAAGCACCTAAAAAGTAGATGACTAAAACGATAAATAAGAAATAAAGGAGAAAAAAAATAGAAGATGTCGCACGTGACAAGAAAGTGGGAATTATTTCCCGGAAGAAATAGATTCTGCTGTGACGGAAGAATTATGATGGCACCACAAACTGGTGTATTTTACATAACTGTATGCCTGATTGCTGGAACGAGTGCATTATTTTTCGCATTTGAGTGAGATATTATTTTTCACATACAGATTCATGATCAAAGGTGAACTATTTTTTGGTAAAAACTAATGGCCACTTTTGCTATATTTCCAGTTGTCCATATCTCTCGCAATACATAACACCAGCTATTCCAGTAATTGGTGGTTTGCTTTTTATATTTGTAATGTCAGCATTGCTCAGAACGAGTTTCAGTGATCCCGGAGTAATTCCTAGGGCTACGCCTGATGAGGCTGCCTACATAGAAAAACAAATAGGTATACTACAGAAGAAATTATTTAAAAAATGCATCCACCTATCGTAGAAAATTTAATTTCATGACGAAATTTTTACAGAAGTTCCAAATAACGGCAATTCACCTACTTATAGACCGCCACCAAGAACAAAAGAGATCCTCGTCAAAGGACAATTAGTGAAATTAAAGTATTGTTTTACATGTAAAATATTTAGGCCACCACGAGCATCACACTGCAGCCTGTGCGACAATTGTGTTGGTATGTTGATTGAGTTTTAAGAAAAAAAAAATGGCCATTGTATGCTATGATAGTCGTAAAGTTTTACACTAGAGGGTCAATTCAATGAATTTTAATGCTCTTAATGCTATGATAATTCAGAGGGATTTGATCATCATTGCCCGTGGGTAGGCAATTGTGTGGGTCGGAGGAACTACAGGTATTTTTATGCATTTATCGTTTCTCTGGCATTTCTCTGCGTCTTCATCTTCGCCTGCGCAATAACACACCTTATTATGCGTAAGTAATTCAACTAGTCATCAGGTTTAATAATCGATTGATTTTTAATGCCTCTCTTCCTGTTTAGTTACCAGGGATGAGACCCCATTCTTGGAAGCTGTCAAGTTATCTCCAGCAAGTGTCATTGTTGGCGTAATTTGTTTTTTCTCAGTGTGGAGTATTCTCGGATTAGCTGGCTTCCATACGTATCTCACAACTAGCAATCAAACGACCAATGAGGATGTAAGTCCTGTCGTCAATAAATATTTGTACTCATTTGTTGCTCAGTATTTGTTATCTACTTGTTTGGATTTCAGATAAAGGGCTCGTTTTCAAGCAAGCGAGAACAAGAGAGTTTTAATCCTTACAGTCAAGGAAATATTTGTGAAAACTGCTTTTATGTTCTCTGCGGGCCAGCTCCACCCAGTCTCATCGGTACTATTATCCTTCTCATTTTTTCCTTTAGGACATATTTAAAATATATATTTTTTCAGCTGAAATACCTCATGGCTCTTTAATTTCAGATCGAAGAGGTATAGTGACACCTGGTTACAGAGCAGAACATGAAAGAGTCGGTGAAGATTACGTTATAGCAAATAATAAAGCCTATGGAACTGTAAAAATAACTCAACCGCAGGTAGATTTTCAATGGGAGTACGACAATTTATTTATAAAAAATTCGGCGCTGATTAAAATGAAAATTTTAATGAATTATAGGTAAACGGCAATAGTATTCCACCAATTGATACCGAATTGAGTGGTTCAATGAATAATTTGGTGTCTGGACGTCGTTCTCCGCGAATAGAATCATTGAACGGTGAGTTGATACTCGTAAGTCAGGCGCAACGTTTGTCCGGGGATAAACCCAGTTACCATGTACCCAAGTATACTCGAACAAGAACAATGCAAAATCGTGTACCCTCAGTTCTTTATTATGATTCCCAAAGCCCATTCAATGCCGAATCCACCCAACGACACAATTATAATTACGAGTATGAGGAAAATTATAAAAAATATCCAGAGGCATGTCGTGATGACATTCAATGCTCCTCCGGTAATAATTTTATTTATGATCAGTACGCTATTGATGGTAAATATCATGTCGATTTGAGAAAATATCCACGTGGATACTCGGAGGATCTGCTCAGGCACAAAGAAGAAGAGTATCATAATCATCCAGATCTTCAAAAATTTCGCCACCGGTATTTTGATGACTCCAACAGTGTGTCCTACTCATCTCAATCAATTAAATACAATAATCTCAGATGCAATCAGCATGGATTTAAATATCCCATTTCAAAAAACATACTACCAAGTCGAATTCTCGGTTCAGGGGGTATTCCCATTATTGGCCAAACAGCTATTGGCCTCGTTGTCAATAAATTTGGTTCAGTACCGCTGAACCATGACATGCCCTTCGTTGATAAAACCTTGTGTTCAGGAGAGAGTATTGAGGATGATATTAACCGAAGTTTTATCGTCGGTTCGATCAGTGATAACGATTGACAATGATTTTTCGACTTTAATATTAAATTAATATTTATTCTATAATACCAATCAGTGGTAGACAATTCCAACAGGAAAATCCCTCGACTTCGAGCAAAGTCATTGAATTAACAATTTTTTATGAAATACTTCAACACGAAAATTTGGTAATTATTTTGTAGATTCACACTAGGATTTTTTTTGTCTACGATGGATGATCACCCAAATAAGCATCGTGAAGTCGTATGAAATTCGATTGAATAATTGATTTTCACTCACGACGCAATGAAAATTAATTACTGAATCAAATCTTATACGTTATTATTGATCGTAAACACGGGCCTCGCGATCAATTCGCCCAGAAACCCTATCTGGTGTGAATTTTCTACATAATTACCAAGAATGTAATTAAACTTTACGGAATTTCATTAAAACGGTATTTCTTTGTTTATAATTACGATCAATTGTCGAGGGCTCAAGCGCGCGCTATTCGGTAAGTTCATCATTACTTCCATTTGTCATGCACATTGTGTATTTAAAAAAAATCTCATTTGTGAGAAAGATTATTTGCTTTGACTTATTTCTAATACACGAGTGAGAAGTGGATTTTTCCGCTAACAATCAAGCGTACGATATAACACAAAAATTAAATGTAATTATTACAGCACAATTACTTATCCCCAACAAATTGAGTTCAATGTTTCTTTCCACTAGTTATAATATCCTTTAATTTTACCAATGGACAATGAATCGTGAGAACACCTCATGGTATTGACAGAAGTCTTGATATCAAGATATTAATTAAGATGTCAATTAATGGCATTGTTTTGTATATTTTGGTACGCTATAGCACAGGTTTTTCTTCTAGGCAGTACGACAAATAGTGTGAGCCACCTCGTAACCAACGAAATTCCACTGGCGTCGTTCAAAATAGCTCCGATTGACATTGATGAGATAGCGCCTTTGCCATTAAAGCAATCTGTCATGATGTCCCCTGTACTGAACACCAATATTGTATCACCAATGACAGCAGTAACACCACTGTCTGCTTCCCGATTGAGACTACTCCAGGATACCACTATGATTGAATCAGCTCTGGATCTAGATTCTCTCGAGGATTCTAGTGTTGATCGTGGTAGCCAAATGGGTCTTATAAAAATGGGAGTTGTTTAGATTATAAAGAATACTCTCTCTCTTCAGATGAGATTCAGGCGGATTGTTTGAATTAATCAGTGATAATTGAATAATATATCGAAATTCGAAACCCAGTGAGGCGAAGAGTGGAACGTTATAAATCGGTAATAGATAGATAATTGTATTATTTTTTTTAGAAGAAACTTGTTGAGCGATGTTATTGAACAATTAGGTTCCTTTGTGCCTTGTAATTAATTTTTAATTTTATGCTCCTACAAATTTTTCAATAATGGTTTACAGCATTAATGGGCCTTTAGAGCAATTTAGTAATATTTTATTTTTATTTTTCATTTTCTTTATATGGTATTGTACTGTTTGGTGAAAATACCTGGTTGAGAAAAAATATGAAATGTCACTTTAGGCGATTTGTGAGTAGTTTACGGGTGAGTGGATGGAGATTCAAGTATAAATCACTTGATTACAATCACGTACACGCATTATTGTAATAATAGCGCACAACTGAATTGATTTCATATGGCATGCGTTAATTGCTCGAACTCCTCTCCCTTGTGTGATTCTGGAAATTCCATGGTGAGAAAAAAAAAAATAGTTGTGGATAACTTGCGATAACAACGGAATAGAGATTATCTTGCAGAGTGAGACCACCCACTTGTTGTTTTTCTTCTGCAATATAATTGTATGGAAAAGTTTATTGTACAGTGTTATTGAATGAAGAGAAAAATATTTATGTAAATAATCACTTGAAAATGTAAATTCATCGTCAAACTTCCAAGATATTTTCTGAGAGGTCTAACCATGAAGACTAGTAGAGGAGTGAGATTTTTTAACAATATAATACAGGCGAAGACCATTTCAATGTTTTAGATATTTATATGTATGCATATATGGTCGCATATATGTGTATGTATATATGTGCGTGAGAGAAGAATTATATAGAGATATATGAGAACATGAAACTGACAAATACGATTAAAAACCACTGCCTGATAATTATTATGAAATCGTTTAGTTCATTCGTTTGTTTATTTTCTTGTTTCCATGCAATACTTTTAATTACCAATTCTCTTCTGGGATAACTAATGTATAAATCTAATTTGTAAATTTTTCTCGATCAAATATTCGCGAGTGAATCACATACTTTGGATACCGTTCATCAAATGAAAATCGTATTGATAATTGCAGGAACAGAATAATTGGAAATGATCAAAAATTTTAATTCGCCTTTTGTACATAAGTTTGGAGATGGCTCTACATGTATATACTATTATTATACTATGTTAATATAATTAGAAAGACTATTATTATAATATAAATGCGAGTTGAAAAATTGGAATTTCTTTGTCATTATTTCTTATTCCGGCAAAATTGATAGGTACTTGAAATATAGGAGGGCATTATCAAAAATGATAAACATAAAGGGATTAACGTAAAATTGCCAATCGAAAGTGGCAAATTGACATTTAATAAATATAGTGAATGATGACAGCTGCAATGAGGAATAATATTGCCGCTGCCAGACCAGAGACGTATACCATAAATTGATTGTTGTTAACCAATTTTCCATGTTCAGTTGGCTCAGTATTAATTTCATTTTGACAGTAAAATTCTGAGGGATCTGTAATTAATATATCGATTTTTAAATACAATTTAGAGATATATTAAACTCTGGGTGCACGAACTCACCAACTTGCAATTCTAATTCCTCCTGGACACTGCTCTCCTGGACCTGAAGATCCAGGAGCTCTTGAAGGGATATAAGTGCCTCTTGGGGGCCTTCACCAGGGAACAAGTAATCAGATAATGTTATGCGACTCTGTGGTAAGGCAACAAGTACTCTCCTAGGAGGTTCATGAAGAGTAAAATTATCTGCAAGTAAAATAATCGCATTTTCACACATGATAACTGGTATTTTTATTAATTAATCAAATTTTACCTTCAGGTAATTCATTTTCTTCTTCCAACAAACTATCCCAATGCATCTCCAATCGGCTGGCCAACGACCGCATGATATCCTGTTTAATTATACCAGTTGCCTCCATTATCGTTGATTTTTGATGCACAAAAGTTCTACTACCTATCTGGCCAACAAGTCTTATCGATGCGACACAATTCACTTCTCTTAATTCCCTTTCCGATTTCATTGGCTATTAAAGACAGAACAGTATAATAATTGCAATAAACCTACTTTAAAGCTAATTACTTGAATTTCATCGTAAATTAACTTACACATGGAACATAAATAGTAGCTTGAAGTGATTTATCACTTATTGATTCATCTGATTCATTGCTCTTCAATTCTTTTCTCTCCTTTTTCTTTTTATTTCCAACGATTTCAATGAGTTGATCAGAAGGCCTTTTATCACCCTCAATTATAACAAGTGAGGAATTTATTATATCAGACATGTCGTTGAGGATATTCTGCAGTTGTTGTTTCAATGTTTCCGATTCCTCTCCATCAACAACAGGAAATACTTGATCAAGATCCACTCTAGTCTCCAACTGATACCACTTGGTGATATTGTCTTGAAATTTCCAGTCAGCATTCTTCATTGAATTATTCAATTTAACATCAAATGATTTACATGAGAATCTGAAAATGGACAAATTTTTTCGGTCAAAAATTTGCAATTTCAACACGGTCTAGAGCGACAGAAATCATTTACTTTTTTGTTAAACTGTTGAATGTGAGAATAAGACTCTCCCGAGGATTATTACCATATAAATATGGACTGGACTCAAAATTTTTGTGGAGCGAGGAAATAATGGACTTGAGTTGTTGCGTATCGCTGCTATCACTGAAACAATCACTGGGTCCAACTACGAATATTCCCAAGACCCACATGCCTCCTGGTAACATTCTTGTAACCTATAGTCAATCATTATGAACAATTACAACAATTCCTGAAGCTTGCTCTCATTATAATAAATAATTTATAGTCAGCGAAATTTTAAACGTTTCCAACAGTTTCTCACGTGTAAGGCATGATCGGCGACCCAACTACTCGGTACATCCTTAACCGATTTAGTCAATTTCACCGGTGATTCCTGTTGGATATTTGTTGTTGAACCAATGAGAGTCTCTTCAATGACATCTTTTGGAGCCGGTGGTGGAGTTCTCGCTAAATGGATCACATAATCCCGTTGATCCGTGCTCTTTACCCAAACAACAAAAACATCTGTTTCATTGACCACTGGCCATTGATTAAATTTAAGGCTACAACTAATTAGCCAGATTATATATTAAGCCATATTAAACATTCAGACCTGTCCGAGAATGAGGCCAACTGTATAAGTATCCGAATCCGATAAACTGATTAAATAATTGAGAAGACTTTGTCCAGCGTAAACTGATCGTCCCATTATTATTTTTTTCTTTGCCTTCTTGCTGTTGCTAGATATCACCACGTTTCAAGCTGTTGGTGTTTAACGGTATATATGTATATACATAGCCCATATCAGCTGTTGCCAAATATGTCCATACGTCATCCACAGCCATAACCCATAAATCACCCACGTATGTAACGTGTATTGACACATAAATCAGCGTTGATCAAGAGATGAAACTATTAATTTTTAAGAGATATACTAATTGGTTATGCATTAATAATTTATTTGTTTAGACAAATAGAAAATAAGTGTGGGTGTTTAATTGTTTTTTTTTTTGGCGAGACAGTAATTATTTTGTAGAGGGCACCAATGGTTATTTCTCAAAATAACGCTTTCCCACCATTTCTGTGATTCAAGACAATTTTTAACGAACATCTCTCGAACAACGAGAGAGTGCGAGATCGACGATTAGTGTCTAAAGTATTTGAACGTTAATTACACTACTTGCTGTATTTAGTCCTATATTTGTGTTGGATAATCGAGTGAATCTAGTGAAGCATCTGCTTGTGAAAACAGCAAATATGAGACAAACATCAATGGGACGTAAATCGTCCTTAAATCCAGTGCGTGTGTCAACGTTAGGGGATAAGGGATCTAATCGTGTGGATCCACGAAAGACCTTGAAACCAAGGGGATCATCATCAGTGGGTGACAGTTCACAAATTCCGAGACCGCGGATTCGAAGTGATTCGTGTGAGCGAACGAGCATTCGACCATCTACATCAAGGACAACAGGTATTTTTTATTTTGTAGTTGATCAATTCTATTGTCAAATGTATTATTCGTTTTTAAAATTGAATAAATAAATGGATAACATGATAAATTTATTGTCCACAGCGACTCCAGTAACGAATCTACGGACTCCCAGTGAAATAACAAGTCTGGCGAGAGGACGTTCTCCATCAGCAGAACGTGCAAGTGTTTTAGGCGCCACCAAGGGCCCTAAAAAAGACACAAGGCCCCTCAACGATAAAAGCTATCAGAATATAATGCTAACGAGAATTGACAACTTCTTCAGCGATGCTCAAAAGTCTGCTATGCTGAACACTTCAGGAAGTTTGAGGCCAGTGTCACTCAAAATTTTCGTCAATGCGTCAGATTTTTTGTTGAAACTCCTGGACTATAAACAAGAATTAAACCTCACAAATTACATGGAAGAACTGCCAAAGATAGCGAAAAAACTGCATTATCCTGGTGTTATGGCAAAATCGTGGTTAAAAACGGCAAACACTATGCACTCATTTGCCCACGTGCTTGGATGGCTGTGCTGGCTTGTAGAAATTTGTGAAGTCAAGGACATTGCCAATCAAACATTCCAATTGAATGCATTGCCATTCAGCGATTGTGACGATGGCGAAGTAATAAATCGCAGTTTATTCGTTTCACTTTTGGAATTATACAAGGTGTGGAATTACGGTAAAGAGGATGAGGAGAAGGCCCTCGAGGACAAGTACATCGATGGAATAGCGAATCAATGTGGTTTCACTGAGGAAGATGTGGCACAGGCCCAGACAGAACTCGAAGAAACAATCAAGAAGGAACAAGCGTTACTCCAGGACGATCAGCTTGACATTGATAAATATAATGCGCTCAATGAAAAATTGCAAATGATCATTGAAGATGAGAATAAACAGACTAACCATTCATCAGCGCAAGCGAAATATTTGAAAAATATCGAATGTGAAATTCAACAGTTGGATAATGAATCTCAGCTGTACGACAGAGAGAAACGAAAGTATGAGGATAAACATGATAAACTGAATAAAATTATACAACAGCAGGAGATGAATATCGATGAGAGGGATGCCATTGTTTACCAGTGCTCACAAATTCAAGGGTATATCAATAGCTTCAATGATCATCTGGAGGAGATTCAAAAAGAAGCTTGGGCATTGGACATAAAAGTCTCAAAATCTCGTGATCAATTCGATAAAGCCATACTGGCATTTAACAGAGATATTGTCATTAATATAAATCACGATATTACTGGGGATTTGGATGAATTGAAGATGCCAGAGACTTTTCCCACAACGGATATTGTGGAGGCGCTCAAACAAAAGGCAGAAACAATTACTAATCTGAAAAATACAATTAAGAAAGAATTGAGTAATTACCAAACGTTAATCGATACTCAGTCTACCAAGTTGGAGACTTTACTCGATAAAATAAAAGCCCTCGATCAGGAGAAAAATCAAATGGTGTTGAAGAATAGTGAAACAAGGCAGTTTATTAAGAAATTGAAGGAGCATGCTAAGGACGAGGAAAACAAATTGCACGATGTTATTCAACGAATACAGACTGATATGAAAGAGTTACAGCAATCTCTACCAGATGTACAAGTGATGGAGAGTCAATTGATCGAAGCGCAGGAAAAATTACAAGCTGTTACAAGAAGAAAAATTCATCTCGAGCACTCGGCTCAACGATTTTTCACTACATTCTTTCAAGTTCTGGCTTCTCATAAAAATGACATCAATAAACAACTGAGAAAGTGTTGAGCTATTATTCTTTCATCTTCTCTACTATTCGTTATAAATTACAATTACATTCAAGTATAAATGATAAGAATAAAAAAATATTATTATTATTATTATTGATCAATTTTAGCATAAAAAATAGTTTTATTTTAGACTTTTCACTTAATTGTAAAATAGATAATACTTATTTGACTAAACACATGTAATTATGAGTAACAAGTAATTATTCAGATATTTTCTACTGTAGCCTCTCAATTTTCTTTCTCGTAATAATATCTTCAATAAATTTAGCCGCTTCTTTCTGCTCTAAATCCACAAGTAAATCCAAAAGTGTATTCATTGTAAAGCCTTGAACCTAAATAAGAATAAATAAAAATAAATGTTTTTAAATGAATAATAGATAAAAAAAAGATGTGAGAAGAGGACTCACCTGGGCGAATGTTAGAATAGTTAACGCAGGACTCGCTCCAGATTTCTCCAAGGAATTGGAGAGAAACGAGTGGCAGCCCAGTCGCTGAGCGAGAGGCTTCCACCCACTGTTAGCCTCCAAGATTCTCCCCAGATCAGTTATTTCATCCAATTCAAGCCAGTCCATCTCTGCCTCATTATCCGTATCCATAACTTCCTCCTTGATTTTCAGCTCAATCTCTTCATCATTACCCTCACCACGAGCAGTCAGAATATCACGAATTTCTTTGTTATTCGATGCAAGATCAAAAGACGACTGGCCATCAACAGAATCATCATCATTAGAATCGGTCTCTTGTTTGATATCTCCAGCCTCATCAGGTTGATTGTCCTCATTAAGTGCCTGAGCACTAGATCCCCGTTGATCATTCCTAATAGACGGATCCGCGCCGTGTTTAGTGAGTAATTGACAGAGTTGACGAGCACGAGCTCCAGTATCAACAACAGCAGCATGCAATGCTGTGTTTCCCCCAAAATTCTGTTTATTCACATTAACATCCGTCTTTTCAAGAAAATAACGGACCACATCAATGTGTCCTCCTTCAACAGCAATATGGAGTGCAGTTCGGCCATAGGAGCGTTCCGATTTATTAACATCAGCACCAGCTTTGACGAGTAAATCAATAGCTCGAAGAGAGCCTGATTCAGCTGCTACCTGGAGTGCCGTCCACCCAGCATCATCATGCTGCTCAATTTTTACGTTTCCTTGTATCAAAGCATCGACGCACTCCCAATTTTCTGGTTTCTTGACAGCTTCGTGAAGTGCAAAGCATCCATGACTATCACAAGCATTTGGATCAGCTCCAAGAAGCAACAGTGCTCGTACAATGTCTGGCTGATTGAGAATAACTGCGTAGTGTAGTGGAGTTTTTCCCGAAGCACTCTCAACTCCTACAAGATTATTCAACTCTGGATATCCAGCTATCAGAGTCAAAATATACTTGGCAATGTCTCGTTGGCCATAACGAATGGCCGAATGCAGTGGTGTATCTCCATACGAAGTTCTTTCCTTGAGTATTGTTGCAACACTCTGATCGAGGATTGATTTATCCTTCATGGATTCCACAGCTTTTTTCAATATATCTATTGCAAAATTTGGACCCTCAGGGCTTGGACGATTAGAACGAGGTCGGCGAGGACCATCTGTACAATATTGAGGCACCCAATCACCCTGAGGTTCAACCAAATCCATGTACTCTTCCAAATTAACATTATCAATGTAAGTTCGAAATTCTTCTGAATCACATTTCTCTTCCAATAATTTTTTCAATTCGGCGGATCGCTCGCTCGGAGTTAGTGGTGCTACAAAAGGCTTCCAAGCAAATACATGATTTGACATAACTGTAGTTGAATCAATGCCACTCGATAAATCCACATTGTCCGAATACGACATTCGCTGACGTTTTCTCTGGAGAAGATTACTCATGGGTTTATAAGTGAATTGCATTGGTTCTGAGCAGTCACCATCGGTCGGTCTCTCTAGCTGAATATAAACAACCTTTGGCTCCGTTATTTCTCTATCTTTATACGGAGGTGTCCGAAAGACTATTGCATACTGGTGATGTACATCAAGTTCGGAAAATTTACCATAGTCACACCAAATTTCGTTATCCTTATCATCCAGCTCAAAAAATTTTACTTTTATATTTTTCTTACCGACTTTCTCCACAAGTAGAAATACCTCCTCGTTACCTCCGCAACTACTCGTGTATTTATCAATTCTACATATTTTCAGCTCTCCCGTTAAAGCACTCTTCAAATTATTTATCGTATTGGAATAAACGGGCTGGCTTTTTGGTTCCATCACGCCATACTCATTGCGCACAAAAGCCTGAAAGCATAGAGCTACACTATTGAGATCCATCCATTTCTGGGCGGCTTCTGCCTCCATTCGTATTTCAGTTTCTTCACGAACACTCAGTGCTCGTCTGTTGAAATCTTTTCTTTGTATTTCTTCAAGTTTTTCTGCCCTCATCTTCTTCATTAATTCGTCTTTTATATGTTTTTTTGCTGTATGAATTATTCCCATCCCTTGAAACGAGGCTATCCAATCATTTTCTTCTGATACCTCGAGCTCATAGGGGGTGTCACTCTCACTGTTGCCCTCGCGCTTCACCAAATGGTGGGCATGGGGAATTCGCCGATCTTCATTTTTAGTTACAAGGGTGCAACGTATTATCATTTTTCCGATCCCATTCAGTAGTTTAACACTTGGTACTTGTCGCTTTCGCCTCGATGTTGAACTAGCACTTGCCAAGCTCCCGTGTGTTCCCATCATCTCGGACTTGTATCGAAATCGAAATTTCTCCACTGGTTGATCCAGGATGCGGATCTCCGGAGCATCCATCGCCTCAGCCGTGAGAACTTAAATAAATAAAAACCCAAAAAACATAATACGTATTTATCAACATGATTATCAACTGTCTTGTTGAACAATAGTCATGCTAATTAGTGTACCTCCAGGTTCGCCAAGTCTCAGGAGAGTGCTCTCAGAACATGATTCCAAGAAATCCAAGTCCTCAGGTGAGGAGACAGCCATTGGCGAGGCCATGCTAGATGACTCTGGAGAACTCATATATGGCCTAGTCACAGGCATGTGTGCTGCTTGTATTGAAATTTCTGCAATAACAAACATCCTTAACTACCCATTCTATATACCTATTTTTCAACATCTCTGTCACTTCATCACTTGATTTTCTATAACGTCGTCATCCACATGCTCGTATACATTTATGTAATTCAAACTAATTACCATAGTTATAAAAAGTTGGGCTGTCACCAAGTGCGTTTTGAAGTAAATTTATATTTTCATACTTTTCCGGCATTATCAAAGATAAATATCCGACTGAATGGAGAGAAACTGGTCACGAGGGAGAATGTTTTGGTTATAAATAGGTAATCCTTGAGGACAGCCGTTCTCCTCACGAATTTCAATAGACGATTGAAAAAAAAACGGTAAAAACCACGGACTTGCAAATGGTTGAAGATGCACGAGCAATCTGACTCGTAGTATTGGACTCACCGAGATGATTCGTATCTTGCAGTTCTGCTTATCTCATAACACGTCAGTCAAGTCCTTGATTAAAAACGCCAGGTTCTTCCCCCAATGAAACGTGCGAAAACCCACCAATCACGGGCTGACAATTCCATTTGTCTCTGTGTTGGTTGACATTATCAATTCTTATTTCGATTGTGTGAGACTGTAGCCAGATAGACTTGGGTGGGGAGTTTGGAGAAATGCGAACAAAGGGAAATCCCCCAGAATATTATATTGTTTTTTTCTTCTCCATTATTATTTTTGATACTTACTCATAGTTTTCACAATTTATCACAATTTGAATCCTTTGTTTTAACCTGTTGATGATCAAATAATATAACTCATCCTCATATATAATCTGATACCGATTAATTAAATCCATCTGAACATTATAATGAGTTGTTTTGAATATAATAAAGCCAATAGTATATATGTACTCTCTACATCCAATAGCTGAGATAGATTCGTGATTAGAGAGGAATTTTTATAATCTTCATGAATGATGTACTTGCAGCAATATATGGAGGGGATTGTGTAAACCGATAGGAGGATATACATAGAGGTACATGGAACGACGCAACACAGTTGCTTTCCTTCATTCAAGTATCACTGGAATTCTTGAGTAGCAATCATTCAAAAAGGATAAATTTTCCATAATTTTTCTATTAAAATGGTGAAGAATGAAAATATTGGAATAATTGGCAGGTGAGAATGTGGGAAATAACATCGTGGCACATAATTTATATAATTTTATTCTGAAGTTGTCATAAAAATCAGGTATTTAATTTTTGGATTTAATTATTTTACAGCGGTATAATTGGCCGAAGTTGGTCTATGCTGTTTGCTAGTGTCGGTTACAATGTCGTAATATATGATATAGTTCAGGAACAAATCGACAATGCTCTTAAGGACATCCACCAACAGCTGAAGAGATTGCAAGATAATAAACTTCTTCGAGGAGCTCTTACTGCAGATCAACAGTTTGCTCTAATTAAAGGTGAATTTCATTTTTTTTACCGATGGAGATTAAAACTTGAATGGAAATTTAATGGACGTTTTCAGGTACTTCCAGCCTTGCGGAAGTTGTGAAGAATGCCAAACTTGTTCAAGAATGCGTTCCTGAAAATCTGGACCTGAAGAAAAAAGTTTATGCTGAACTGGATAAAGTCGTTGACGACAAGACTATTATCTCATCGTCAACATCGACCTTCAGGCCTTCGATGTTCACTGAAAATCTCAAGCATCGAGCTCAAGTCATTGTTTCTCACCCTGTAGGCAGCTTATCTGATATTTTCCTTTTTTTGTTAACATATTTTCCTCACTTCAAGGAAAACTGAGATAATCATGACATTCTTTCGCTCTTCTCACTAAAACTGATCGTATAAGAAATCTTATTACGTAATGCATCGATTCGACAAGTGTGAGATAAGGAAACTCTTAATATTAAATCGAATTTCGAAATGATAAATTAATTTCAATGGAGGAGTGATCGGAGTAAAAAAATATTAAAAAAATATGTTTAGGTAAAAATAATAACTCCAATATTTGACGAGTAATTATTTTTCAGGTGAATCCACCGTACTATGTACCACTAGTGGAAATCGTTCCAAGTCCATGGACTAAATCTGAAATTCCTGAGCAAGTGAAAAGTATTATGACCGAAATAGGACAGGCGCCGGTGGTGTTTACCCGGGAGATTGACGGTTTTGCTCTCAACAGAATACAGTATGTAAATTATTGAAGTGAGTATTAATGAGTAAATAATAACCATTCAATTGCAGATATGCTATATTGAATGAAGCCTGGCGGCTTGTGAGTGATGGTGTTTTAAGCGTCAAGGACGTTGACTTGGTCATGAGTGAAGGTCTTGGAATGCGGTATGCATTCTTGGGTGCTTTTGAAGCCGCTCATCTCAATGCAGAAGGTAAATTAACGATAAAATAGTAAAAGGAAGATAATCCAATTAACAATGTTTGCAGGCATGAAGAAGTACTGTGAAACCTACAACAAATCAATTTACGATGTGAGTCAGACATTCGGGCCCACTCCCAGATTTATTGGAAAGGAAGCAGAAAATATTTCCAAACAGCTGGAGGAAATGTGCCCTCTGGATCAACTACAAAACAGACGTGCCTGGAGAGACTTGGCATTGACTAAATTGTCCATCTTGAAAAAACAATTAAACCAAGACAATTAACATATAGTTTGTGTAAATAATGAAATGATTTTGTATTCCCATGGGCACCACTATTGCAAATAAATTTCGATAACATACCTCTATGAGAGATAAAAAGTTAATCACATGTGTAGTGTTATAACACTTTATTTTTTCATTTTTTTATTATATTAAGACAGACAATTTATCGCTTTGTTCCCACCCTTGGTGCAGCCTTCTGCGTAATTTTGGCGGCTTTGTCTTTTTTGGCGGTGGCCTTGGTCTTGGGAGGGGCTGCCGCCTTTTTCACTGCCTTAGCCGCTTTCTTCTGTTCTTTAGCGACCCTGCACAATCCAATATTATTTACATGTAAGACAATTGAAATTTTCATTTACTTATCAATCAATCCAAATCTAATTGAATGAAATGCGTTAATGTTTGAGCCCGCAAAGCCAGACAGTGTTGTCAACAATTCTGGGTGAAGCAGCTCTGAAATATTTTCTTTAAGACTAACTGAAATCTAACACTAATTAATGAACCGTGTTAGAGGAACAGATGTCTAGAATTCAAACTCTCCATCCATGAAAATACGTGTCATATTTTTATGTACTTCTATACTAACTTTATCGCCTGTTCTCTCTGAGCTTTCCTGATCTCAGGCTTCATGTTCCGCTTAGCCAAAATGTCAGTGAGAGATGCACCCACGATAGCCCGATTGAACTTCTGGGTACGACGCGTTCGCCTCTTGGCCTGCTCCTCCTCCTGACCTTTCTTATGTTTACGCCTATAAAAACACAAAAAGTTAATTAAATAATTCATAAAATGAAATACCACTTCAAAGTTAAATGCAATACCTGTACAGAACAGTCCATGTCACCTTTCTCGGATTGCGTTTCATCAAATGGGCGGCTTCACACTTAGAGTTGAGGAAAGTGAAGGTCTAGAAAAGCATAACAATCGGAAGAGGTTATGATCGAGTTGTTTTCCAAGAGCAAATAAAATTGATCAATTAGCTGGAATAAAAAACCGCATCGCAGCTCCCTTAACTACTCCGATTTAATTATCTTTTTATTATAAAATATTCAACTTACCTTTCCATCAACTTTAACCATGGTCTTGCCATGGCCAGGATAGATCTTGTATCCACTGTATGCACACAGTCCGATCCTGAAATGATAATGAGAAGATTAACATCGATCATGCGAGGAATCTTGGATTTACAATATTATCAAAAGAACGTCAACGATTGCATGTTAATATTTCGATTACTTTTCAATCCACAAACGTCAAACTTACTTCATTTTGCTTTACAAGGGGCTTGGAGCCACGTTATTTCCTGTAAAGCAAACACCAAAATGGCCGATTACATAGTACATAGGCTTTCTCTTTGGTCTCTTTGGTTCGGTGGAGGGAAGGGTGAAAAATAAAATCCCTATTGAAAATAGGGACCTTTCTGAGAAGATTACGGTGGCTCCGTAGTCTCAATGGCTGCGATCGCTATGGATTATGATAGAGTCATTTGATTGGGTAAAATCGAGGTGACGTGAGTAAGGGGTAAAAAAGGCCTCATTGATTCCAATCTGTGGTGTTTATAGTTTTGTACTCAGCTGGTTTCTCCTTACGCTCATAGGTAGATACATAGATCGGTTTGGCAGGAGTTTTGTCATGCTAGTGTACGGGCAAACGACAAGAAGTAAATTTTCGTTGTACATGCGATAGTGAATGTGTATGAGTGTGTAGTGGCCTCAACTCGAGCACGTACAACGTCATAATACGCATTCTCGCATTTTCACATCTCACATCTCAGTTGGTCTTACGGGTGTGGGAGTCAAGAAGAACAAAGATCCCACTACCAAATATCCACCCATACCAACAACCAACAACAACCAATATCCTATTGTATTAACTATTCTCATTTTATTTATTTGCCCTTCTATTTCACATTAAATACGGAAGTTGATAAGTTTGGAGTACGGGTAACGGTATTGTGCAAAGAGGGCGGCCTTCGGTGCTGACAAAAGGCCCCGTGGAGGTGAGATTTTTCATACGCAGCTAGCCAAGTAAAAATTAAAAAAAAAAGATAGGAAAAAAAATCCAGTTTCACATCACTATTCTGAGTGCTGACACGTACTCTAATATTATACTCTGTGAAAAAGTGATCATTGCATTTGATTTACTATTGATAACAAATTGAAGGAAAGTTTGTTATTTTCGTGATATCGAGGACTGGCTGTTCGGGGGCATATAACCAACGGGAGAGTGAGAGAGAGATAAAGAGGATAGACTGAAGTGCAGACGTGTATTAGTTGTCTTGGAGGTCATCGGGAATAAATTTCTTTTTTATTCAAGTGACGTTTGGTACATCAGAGGGAAAACACCGAAATGTCTACACCAGCAAGGCGAAGACTCATGAGGGATTTTAAAAGGTAAAGGTACTCAGTATGTACTCGGTGATATATCCAAATGAGTATAGTAATGGAACGGTGGGGGGAGTTGAGACGCGACAACGAGGTTCATGAATCCACATTGTAACTCAGAGAAAGTGAACACATTCACTCAATACGTTTGCCATTTCTCTCGGCACCTTCTCCAACGTCATCCTCAGCCTCATAATCGACATGCCATGTCAAGCTGTTATTATTAGCTTTTCAAGTATAACATCATCCCATTTTATTTATACTTGTCTATTTAATACTCATACTTTGGTGCTTACTCTCTTTCACTTGTGGAATATTAAATGTCATTTTCTTAATGAAACGATCGATAATTGGAGTGACAGTGGCTGATGGACCGAAAATAAAAAAAATCTAAGAAGAGCTAAAATGGAGCATAACGCTGTCACTCTAATTTCGTGAGTTGATTACATGAGTCATGTATTCGTGTTGCACTCACATCAAATAGAAATCTCGGTTTATTTGTCAGGCAATTATTGAATATCATATTTTTTCAATTGGTAGATTACAAGAGGATCCACCAACTGGTGTCTCCGGTGCTCCGACTGACAATAATATCATGATATGGAATGCCGTTATTTTTGGGTAAGCGAGAGATGTTGATACTTTGAATAGTCTATTGTCACTGGTGGAGCAATGGGCATCTTGAAAGTAAATTTGATTATCTGATTGATGATAATTATTTTTCGGTCCTCGTAGACCTCACGACACACCCTTCGAGGACGGCACCTTTAAGCTTACCATAGAGTTCACAGAAGAGTATCCGAATAAACCACCCACAGTTCGATTCGTTAGCAAAATGTTTCATCCAAATGTTTACGCCGATGGTGGCATCTGTCTTGACATCCTGCAAAATCGTTGGAGTCCAACTTACGATGTCTCTGCTATACTCACATCAATTCAGGTAATTTATATATTTCACTTTCTCTCTCACTCGCTGACTAATCATTAACTAATCGTTTCTTTTATTCATCGTATTTATTGTAAGAGCTTGCAACTCTTGAAATTATTTGATGAAAAAATTTGTCATCAATAACTGACGAAACATCAGTTATCGCCTTAACAGCGGTTGCAATTCAGTAAAGTCTCTTATCAAGTCACTTTTCATATTTTTAATATTTTATTTATCATTTTGTGGTTAATTTTGATGACTAATTGATGGTTAACGGGGAGAAGAAATAGACGAAGTAGAAGAAATAGAAAAGCATTGAACAGTGCCAAATGATCTGTCTATGATTTCATCATAACCCAAAGTTAAGTTAGCCGAAAAACAGAATGATAAATAAATTGGTAATTGACATTATTGACTTGTGTGATTGCAGTCGCTGTTAAGTGATCCGAATCCGAACTCACCTGCCAACTCAATGGCTGCCCAACTGTATAAAGAGAACCGACGCGAGTACGAGAAACGAGTGAAGGCTTGTGTCGAGCAAAGTTTTGTGGATTAGTTGCTGATTAATTTGGTATCATCGCGTCAACATCCGCCATCAACGTACTACATCATTTGTGGAAACAATTGTCGAGCCTTACCACGGAGTTAACGCTAACCGCTTAGCACGTCACTCCCTAAATCAATTAATGAGAATGGAATAATACATGAAAAAAAAAGAGTGAGAAAGAAAAAAAAAAGAAAATAATAAAGGCATTGGAATAATCAGACATCAACGCTCTATAAACTGGCATTCATTGCAAAATTAGCAACTAAATTTTTACCACCTTATACGATTAACTGTCACAGAAAATTGTCTATTTATTTATTTCAATTTCAACGGATAATGCGAAACGAGGAAAAACAAATAACACGAGACAATTAGTAATTATTAAATTCTAGGGTACAATAAAATAATCATTGTCTAATTAATTTTCTGTTGTTCTTTCGTATTTTCTTCTTTATGGCAAATTATGAATTTTCCTAGAGAAGAATAATTTGTACGAGTGGCGAGCACAGATCCTTTATACCTCGGATTCCATAGTGTCCCTTGGTATCACATCTAAATTCACTTATAAATATATAAATAAATATATACACGTACCATAATGGAAAAGATGATTTTTTTATTTTCGCTTGTTTCCTCTGAATTGCAAATAATTCACATGTTTCAGTCGTTATTGGACGAACCAAATCCAAATTCACCGGCGAATTCACTGGCAGCGCAGTTGTACCAAGAGAATAAAAGGGAGTACGAGAAACGTGTTGCCACGGTTGTCGAGCAGTCTTGGCTAAATTTTCAGGAAAGTCATGTTGACGATGCCCGTTGACATTAGTCTCATCTGGCAAATGCTCCGTACTCCATCACTGGAGTTATCCAGACGCTTTCAATCCCATTATCACATACCCATGATCCAACCCGATGATTGACAAATGCATTATCAAAATACTATTGTTATAAATTATGAATAAAAGAAAAAGGAAGGATTGTGAAAATTAATACGTAAAAGTAATGAGTAATTTGTTCTAGACGCTCGTCGACACGTACTACATTATTATAAAAACAGCAGGAAAACACAATTAAATGAACACACACTGTTCCCAAATTAGCTTCTGATGCGGAGGAGTCTCAACATTATTAATCCTCTGTCCTGTCATTAAAACTCATGTGATGATAACATTTAAGTATATTATGATATTAATTTTGTGTATTCACTTATTTCGTGACGCCTAGAATCGAGATATAACTTGAAATATATAATATAGAGAGTTTGAAGTGACTTAATGAGATAATTATACACAATAATAGATTAAAATAAAAGTTGGAAATAAAATAATGGATTATGAAAGAGAATGTAACAAACTTAATTTTTTCGTTTTTCATTATATACAGAGTGAAGGAATAAATTTGAAATTGCATTTCATTAGGAAATTAAGGCAACATCTTTATTGAATGAATAAAAAACAAAAATAAATCCTAGTATGTTAATTAATTGATGATGAATTTGTTAAAATACATGTAATGCTTATCTACAATTGAGATATTTTAAATATCATATGAAAACCTCTTCCTTGAACTTTACATATATTCGATATAAAATAATACTGTCACTGTGAGGCTGTGTGACAACTAGATGATTAGAGGAAACAATTTTTACCCATCTTGTTAGACTATTTCTAATCGCACAATAATTATTCAACTATTATTGTGAAGTACGTTTGAATGAGAGTTTGAATAATGTCGTCTGTAGGTGTAGTATGGAATGGACTCTGATTAATCAATTATTATCATTGTTGTTGCTGTTGTTGTTACTGTTATTATTATCCATTTTCATTTAGTTCATTCTGCCCCTGCTACGATTTTTCCTCCTTCTCTTTATTGTAACGCTCGAGCTCTTTCAAAAATTGTGCCTTGGGTTTCATAACATTTGGTCTATCGCCTCGACATTTCGGACAGAACCATTTACCTTTGGGCTTTGTGCTCAATGAAACGCAGGAGAAGTGGAACCACTCGATTGGACAGAGATCGTTGTCACAGAGAATCATCTCGCCATAGGATATTTGATCGCACAGGCAATAAGTTGGTTCATCCGGGTCGACCTGAATATCGTCATCAATGGGTGGCGGTGTGTCCTCTCGCTGCTGATTCTGTTGATTGCCTTGACGGGATTTTCGCTTCTTTTTCTTGCCAGCTGCTGCTGCGGTCGTTTTCTTTTGATTACCATTGCTTGTATTTGATAAACCAGTGGAGCGATTCTCTGACATTACCATCATATCAAGTCCACTCGAGTCTGTTAGATTGTCTGTACGAGTTCTCCTCGCACGTTTGGGCTGGCGTTCTACGTTATTAGAATTAGCTGTCGCTGTGGAATTCGTCGTTGTGGCAGATTCCCGATTCGTATCATTATTCTCCTGTTCCTTGCCAAAATCTAAAACGAACAAAAAAACCAATGCATACTCATCAATGTCACGAGACTCATGTCTCCAATCACCATCAGTTAATCACATTATCATTAATTATTACCTAAATTACGGTAATCTAGGTCTAATTGCCGAGATTTATTCTCAATGAGGTCCTGAATCTGTTGGACAATTTGGAGTTTCTCGTCACCAATTTCCTGAGCTGCTATGAGGGATTGTTGGACTCGCAACAGGGCTCGTCGACGTAATGTTATATCGGTATCGATTTTCAGTAGCTCCTGCTGTTGATCAACATCTCGGAGATAGGCTGCAAGCAATAATATCAATATTTATTCTCCAATGGACGTTGTTAGGTTATCACACGATGCACCGGGTATCTCGTCGAGGTCTTTGCTCTTGAGATTGCAATATTTTATGAATTATCAGGCTTACTCTGACATGTGGCATCAAGCTCACGTAAACGAGATACATATCGCTGAATGTCGTTTGGAAGATTTTCAACGCAATCGAGGTAATTCTCAATATATGTGGCAGAATAGAGTGCTTCAACGACTGCTTGGTTTAACATTTTGTTCTATCAATTGATTATTATTTCACCACTTGTTATGCTTCATTTTAATGCTAACACAGGATAGGAGATAGTTGTTGGAGCTGTTGGAGACGTTTTGGAGACAACAATATAGCATCAGCAGTGATGCCAGTGATGCCAGGGAATTGTTAATTACTTATTGCGAGGAAAAGTCGAACACAGAGTGAACACTCCTACAAGGTTATATTAGATATCCTCGGTAGGTGGCACTTCTAGATAATTATATTCCCGCCCTCTTTTGATTTTTCGTCTTTATCCGTTTATGAGATCTTCTCACCACTTACGCTCATTCGAGATATTTTGAGATATCTATTTTCTTCTTTTGGTCGATATATTATACACCCCAACAAGTCGACAATCCACCAATCCAGCAGCAATCCATTTCCTCGCTAGATTATCCAGAAATAAAAATTTATGTTGAACCTTGGAATGTTTCTATTAGATAAATTTAACAATTGTTTTTTCAGAATTACTTTTTCTGTGCGGAAGTCAAATAAAATACATTTTATTTATAATAATAAGAAGGATTGAATTATCTTGTAAATTGTTTTTGTAAGCATTCAATCCTTATTGTGTTCTTACAGCCTCTGGAAATTTCCAATTGATTTCTCTTTCTCTTGAATTTTGTGGGGAATTGAGAAATCTTCGGTGAATTATTTAATTCCTTTCTATATTAAGCGAATTGTACTTGTTATGAAAAGTCCTTTTCATCTTCAAAATGTTTAGATTTGCAGGAAAGATCTACTACGCAATTTCTCATTAGGCGCGGAAACAAAAGGATTACAAAAATGTTCCAGAAATCCTTGTGCATTATTTACTGCATTTTTTATGATAGTTTGATGATAAGAATTTATTTAAAACTCCGTTCTGGGATCCGCAGGATCGCCATCCATAAAAGAAGAAAAAAAAACAAATCCGGGTATTGCAGTGGTTGAAGTGAAAATGATGAAGACCGAAATAATATCATTTATTGTGGGTTTGACGATTTTAATAAATGTTTTTGCTGTGGAAGTGTCGGAGCAACAACCCAAGGTCTCTTATGGCAGTGCTAAAGTTGAATACGAACAATTGACGAAAGAAATTAAAGAAATCGATCGTCAATTAGAAAAAACCAGGAGAATACAATGTTACAATCGTAGGTAGAAAATTTTATTATCATCTAGCTTGATTGATATCTGAAATCAATCTGTAATAATTTACTGGTTAATTTCTGTTCGTTTTTTTTTAATTCTCTTTCCAGCCTTCCAAAAAATGGTGGCATTTTTTTTGAACATTTTTCCGCTTCCTAAACATATGCAGGACGGTTTTTTCGTGAAAGAGAAACAATGTGTTAATCATCAGCAAGGTCAATTCCGTAAACTATCGGAGAAGGTGAAAATAAAGAAAGACCGTGTTGAGGAAGCATTAGCAACAATGAAATCATTGCACCCACTGCAAGAGAAGACCTTGAACGAGAAATCACATAAAATTAATCAAACGACACAGTAAATAATGAGAAAATCTCCATTGTTGTTATGTTATTCCTGTGAATGTTTGTTTATTATTACTAATAATAGGATATCAGCACCTCATTGAATTTATTTTATGTAATTGCAATGTTTTTTTCTGCAACCCAAGTAAAGCTGGATCATAAAAATCGAAGACATGGTATTTATTTCATTGCGATTGTTTTTCTTGAATAATTAGGTTTATTTATGTACCTGAGAGGACACCAAACTGTTGACATTTAAAATTATATTGCATAAAATAAACTTGGCACATGAGCATAGAAGAATAATTCATTGATCACGATGAAAACTTCTTTTTATGAGAATTGCATAATCACAGCATTTCCTCCTGGCGACACCAACGTACGTTTTTTTTTTAACCTATTTTGACGTTGCACAACGAAAATATTTGTGAGACCAACAGATTTACCAGAAATAAATTGTTAATATGGACAAATGATATTTGGAAAAAGGAGACGCACCACCTTACGCTAGATCTGTTACGCAAGGGAAAATCCCAGGACATCTTCCATCGAGTAATCAAAGAGTTTCAAGTCTATCCTATAAAATTCAATTAGTTTTCTAATCTGTTTGAATGAAAGCCCTGAATAGTATTGTTGCAATTTTTTGTCCGTTGGCTCTCGGTCTTTTGGTTTCGTTGGAAAACTGAAATACCACAAATGAAATAAGGTAATTATCAAAAGAAAATTCGATGATGAATTTCATTGATTACCTTATGTGTCCCGCTCCAATGCTTTCGAGCACCTCCGTAGCGTCTTCCACTAAAGTCTCATATTTACTAATGAGATTGTAATTAATTATACATGGCAAACACAATTCGCTTATTGGCCTCCAGTGTTCATTAGTCGTTTTATTGTCATCGGCAGTGATGAAATCAACAAATTCTCCAAAAGTCACATCATCACCTTTGCTCAATGACTCCTTGGTGGCATTTTTTCTGTACTTCTGCAGAAGGAATAAGAAAACAAACAATTAAGATCAACGAGAATTTATAAGACGACTGCTAAAAAATTTCTAAAAAACGATTGGATTGGAGAACAAGATAAAAAATAATGTGTATTTATCATACCTTGACAATTTTTCTTCCAAAACGAGTTTGAAAGTACTTCGAACTAGTCTGATCACGTGCTTCGAGTTTATTTCTATAAGCTGACAGCAATCGTTCCATGGGATGTCTTACTGCAATAAGTGTGTCGTAAGTGGCCAATCTGTATTCAATTTCGGATGTGGTAAAATTACTCAAACGTAGAAAAGTGCCAGGAGCATGGGTCAAGTTGGCTGGTATATCCAGAGGCTCATTTCCAGACCATTTACCTGTTGCTATCATCAGAACGCGTTTCCAATTTGTGCAGGCCACCTATCGAGCAATCAATGTCAAATTTTCTTCAATTAATGCATCCATGGATTCACCATAGAGGTAAATAAACGTTAATTATCGTTAATCTTTACTTTTGGTACATAACAGTAAAGTAACTCGTGGACTTCGTCCACTAGAATATTATTAAAGTCTTTGGGTTCGAAATTGCCCAGGTCAGGAGCCTCCATCCTCAGTATCTCCTCACAGTTGTGCTGCAATCTTTCCTGGCGATCGATCAACACTGATCTAGTGAGTGCATTTGCACCGAGTACCAAATCAGGTGATTTTCGTCGAGGAATGTCACCTAATAAGCTGATATCCCCCATTACAAACAATTCCACCAACACACAAGTCCAAACAGTCATCTTCAGTACTGCTCTTCTCCATCCTGGCATGATACTTCACCCTTCCACTCATTGATTTCCCTCGGTTTCTGCAAACTAATCTGAAATCAACATTCCATCCTGTCAATATATCACACCTGTTCTCCAAATAAATGACCAGTTTGTGCAAAATGTTTAAAAAATCTAAAATCAAATTATTATGATCGGTATTGATTTGTATTGATCGGTATTGATCTGTGTTTTTGCTTCGTCATTCCATTGATTGCACCTTTTTAATCACTCACCACTGGCCATTGATCCATTCGCAGGATAATTCCAGCAATTCGTGCACAAGTTGCCAATAGTATGACACGACACTGTCTCAATTCTCAATTATCATCCAATTTTCTTTCTTCTTTTTTCTTCGAAATAACGAGAATCCAATGACGTCATACGATGAAGCACGATTGGACCGACTACCATCAAAACATGAATGTATAGTCGAAACACACATCGGACATTGAAGAAAACGAGCCGAGGAAGTGGTAGCACGCGTTCCCGTTTACCTCCCTCCGACATTCTCTTTCCCCCGTTCTCTTTCTCACTGGTTTAGCTCCCAGCTATCCTTATGGCTTATAATTTGCCTCGAACCCAAAGAGATGTAACGGAGATGAATACCGCACTCATTCCATTGATTCGAAACGACAAAAACAACTCACTAAAATTAATTCCATGAAAAACTCATGACTGTGATAATTCACAATATTTCCGAAGAGATTGAATAATATTCAAATAGAATTTCAGCTGATTGGAAAAAGTTGCGAATTTTATATTTGCTCATTTTTAATTATTCGCAGGACCGGTTTATTTAGCTCACGGGCATCTACCAAGGTTGAATCATGAATTTGTACTTTGTTTGATTTCCTTTTTTTGTTTGTTATTACGTACATGCGGCAACGCAATGCCGCACTTGGGACACGACTTCAATTATATTTCGTAATTATTCGTGATGAATTATAGTCATTTATATGGGTTAAATGACACAGGCTGGGATGACCTAAACTACCTGGCGGAAGTAAAAATGAAAATTGATGAGAGTGGAAAAGCTGGGGTATGACGTTTTGTTGATTTCGGAAAATTAAGTGGCGAGTTGAATATAAATAATATTGATTGAATATGATGAGGATGATCGGTGAGGGCAGTAGAACTGCATTTGTTGCAAAATACATGGCAACCCGGCAGGTTGTCAGCCAGAGAAAGTGTTTTACCTTCGGTGCCTGAGACAGGCACTGGCAGTCAGTTATGTACTGTTTAGCACGATCGACAGTCCTCGTCGATCAATATTAGGAGAAACACGCTATAAGGAATGATCAACTAAATAATTCATTGCAATTAGCAAATGTTGCAAAGTGTTTAGCATTTATCAGTGCGGATTGCTTACGAATCACTCGATTGTATTTTCCTCCAACAGATTAATTATTTTTTTTTATCAAGTTTTTCAATAGATGTTTAACTGGTTAAGATTTTATCTTCAATCTTTTAATGGTCGTGATGATTTTTACGTAAACTATACTCAAGACAACAAATGACTCTGTTTTTTAGAAAAAATGCTGCTAGCGATAGGATTTTGGCTGCTAGTTGCTGTTCTTGTATTGTGGGCGCTATTAGATCCCTTTAGCAGAGTTTCACGTGCCCTCTGGGAAGTTCTTGTTCCTATAATAAATCCAGTACCAGTCGATCTAAAATCCAAATTCGGAGAATGGGCGGGTAATTATACAGCAATTCTGTTGATCAATTAGGCTTTATATTTATTATTAATCTATCGTGATTTTCGGCAGTTGTGACTGGATCTACTGATGGAATCGGAAAGGCATATGCCAGAGAACTTGCCTCACGAGGTATCAATCTCATATTAATCAGCAGGACATTGGAGAGGCTTGAGAAAACCAGGGAAGAGATTCTTAGTGTTAATAATCAAATTCAAGTGAAAATCATAACTGCAGATTTTAGTAAAGGACAACAAGTTTTTAAGGGAATTGAATGTGAATTGAAAGATGTGCCGATTGGAATTTTAGGTAATTTCGTTCGTATTTTATTGAATTCCAGTGATCGGACGGTTTTAATGACGCTGTTTTTTTTTAGTTAATAATGTTGGAAAACAGTATTCATATCCAATGGTCGTCGGGGATGTCCCTGAAGATGAACTTTGGGACATAATAAACGTAAACGTGGGAGCATCAACTTTAATGACAAGACTAGTGATCCCAGGGATGAAAAAACGTGGGAAAGGCGCTATTGTCAATGTCTCATCAGGCTCGGAGTTGCAGCCACTACCTCTCATGACAGTTTATGCTGCCACCAAAGTATATCTGAAAAGTTTTTCCGAGGCCCTCAGGGCTGAGTATGAAGAATTCGGTATTACCATTCAACATCTCACTCCGTTGTTTGTTAACACAAAAATGAATGCATTCAGCGATCGATTGCAGGTGAAATTCCCATGAAATTCAGTAAAATAAAATTTCATCTGTTGTTTAGAGTAGAACGTGTAACGGGAAATTGGAAAAGAAACGTTTTTCTCAATTATTGTGAAACAGGCGATGAGTAAATTTTATTCTCTATGTTGTTTAGGTATCCAGTGCATTCGTTCCAGATGCAACCACTTACGCAAGGAGTGCCGTTGAAACCCTCGGAAAAATAGATACTAGCACAGGATACTGGGCACATGGAATTCAAAATATTTTCACTTTGATACCACCGGTGTGGATGCGTACGAAAATAGGAAAATTCATGAATGAAACATTTCGAGACGATTACTTCAAACAAAAAACCATATAAATCTCTAAATATCAGTATACCTAATGATTAATCATTATAATGAATCAGTGATATCTATAAATTTTTTTATTCTTTTTTACACTCTGTACATTTATTATTTGATATTCATTCTTTTTCATTATGTTCAATTTAATATACAACATTTCTTAATAAATATATTTAGTACCAATTCACATAAGTCTCTTCTCCTATATCAATCCATAACAAAAGAGAATAAATTTTAATTGTTTTTCATACAGCAAGAAAATGATCAAAATGATCAAAATCGATTCATTGATATATTTTAGTTATTTTTTTTTATCACAACTAAATGCTAAATTACACGTGGACTTCACTTACATTTAGGTACTGGATGATTTGTATTTGCTTTTTTTTCTTCAAGTTTACACAGATTTACATCGCTTGTAAGAACAAAACTGACATTTTTACATTTGTTTAATTTCTAGTTTTTCATGAATTATGATTACTGATGAATAACCAAGAGAATGCTGTTGCGGGGTCTCCAGGAAATTGGCATAAACTTCTCATTTCCCATGATTTCCTCACCCTGAGAAATGAGTTTGTACTTTCCGAATTAAAATTACCCACTTTTCTCATTCACTCGTTCATTCAGTAAAGTTGAAGTAACAATCATATGCCATATTTGTAAGACCGACTCGTACACATTCAAAATCACATGCATTAGGCAATTTCAACTTGTAAGAGGGTAAACTAAAATGTATCAATGGTACTCTTCGAGTATCGAAAAATTCTTCAAACAAATGAAAATTTTTCTGAACCACCGAAACCTTGTATTTTATGGAACTACTAATTTATTGTACGCGGACAATTTAACTTGTGCGAAATTTGTGCGAGAATGCATCAAAATCTGTTAAAAAATTAAAGAAGAAAAAATCAATTGTAAACAATTGTAATAAGTAGGAAAAAAAAAATGTTGACAATTGTTTTGAATGATCAATTGTCTTGCACCATTTTTCGTTATATCTAAAAAGCTGGGAAACCTTATAAAGTATTGCGACATCAACAATTATTGAATTTAATCAACATTTTTCCTTCCATTTCATTGTAAACACAGCAAATCCATTAAACAAAACGAATATGCAACAATTACTGTTACCGCGACTGCTCCAGGGACTGTGATATTATTAAAAAAATAAATGAATTCTATTTGATGATAGAATTCAAAAGCTCGATCAAAAATATATAGTGTATGATTTGTATTCGACTCTATTGGGAGCAACGTGATATTATTTATACCGATAAAATGAATAGTTTTATTCTCAACATGAGTATAACAATTGTGGAAGTTTGATACAGGATTAATAAAAAGTAGGAAAAACAAACTGAATTAATCCTTGTGTGCTTTTGTATTCAATTCAACTGAGGATAAGTCTTTGAAAAAAATTATTATGTTCTTCGTTCATCATTACCCGACATTTGAGTTTCTTGATACTTGATAAAAAAAAAACTGGAAATTAAGATTAGGTCTGATAACCAGCAGAAATATTTTTGCCGGTTACGTTTTATCGGATTGCCTCCACCTGTGCACATTCTATTTGTCCGTTGAAAGAAAGAAAAAAAATGTGAATGCTACAAGTACGAAAACTGACCGAAAAATAATCTGAGCTTTGGTTGTGCCATAAATTGTGGCAATAGCGCACGCCAAGTTTGGCCTTAAGATTTTCTTCGCGTGTCACTGGAAGTTTTATTGGTGCATTTAAGGCATCTGGCTGAACATCACGATGCATACATTCGATTAATCTCGTGTTGATAGCGCTCTTGGACTGCTTTCCTCTTGAGCTTGAAAGCTGCTGTAACGAGACCCATATCTGGTGACCACTGCTCTGAGCACAACTTGACAGCCCCTGGCATTTCAAACCTTTGCAGATGGGATTTCTTAGATTGCTCGAGTAACTCTTGTAGAACGGCTTTCTCCATGGCTGGATTTTCACAGAGCTCTTCCAGACTGGCATTGGTAATGCCAAGGTTAACAGCTATTTCCTCGAGGAGTCGAGGATTTGGTACAACAAGTGCAACTGTGTAGGTTTTGTGTGGATCACCATATACACAAATATTTTCAACTAACGGACAAGTTTTTAATTCAGCCTCAACTTTACCGAGAGAAACGTATTCGCCAAATTGTAGTTTAACCAAGTCTTTTTTACGATCAATAATTTTAATGCAACCATCGGGATGTACCTCACCAATATCTCCACTCCTGAACCACTGTTTTCCGTCTTCGAAGAAGAAATCTTCTTTAGTCTTTTCAGGTATTTTATAATATCCCTGAGAAACATTGTCCCCACCAATAATAATTTCGCCCCTTGGATATGGGCTATCAGTAACTCTATAACTAGCTTCCTCCCAATTTTCCAGTCTAATATCACAACCAATAACTGGTGCACCAACTCGGCCAGTACTTCTGTCGTAATAATCCATAACAGTTGACGATGAGCACGTTTCAGTGAGGCCATAGCCCTGTATTACAGCGACACACAAACAAATTCTCACCTGAGTATGGGTCTCCGGTGTGAGTGGAGCACCTCCAGACAGAATAAGTCGAATATTACCACCAAGTACTTGTCTCGCTGAGCCAAAAATTAATCGATCGAAGAGAGGTGTATCGTAGCCCCTCCTCGTCCACTTGAGTTTGTACTGATAGGCGAAATTGAAAATTGCTTGACTCAGTGCTCCAGATTTTTTAACTTTTTCATTAATCCCCTTTGAAATTCGATCAAGAATCAGAGGTACAGCGGTCATACATGTTGGTTTGAGAACAGCTGCATCACCTTTACATCCTCTCATTATTTTACTGCTCGAATCAATCATTGTCAATGGTGAACTGTAGCCAATTGGAACTCCAGCTAATATAGCCACACTCTCAGCTAGCAGTTCAAACACATGAGCAAGAGGCAAAAATCCAAAAAATATATCTTCATCATGGGTTCTAACAGCACTGCAGAATGCCTTAAGAGTCGACACCATGTTCTTGTGAGACAACAGTACACCTTTTGGAATTCCTGTTGAGCCCGAGGTGTACATTATTATGGCAATATTCTCTGCTTTGGGTGGAACACATTCAACAGTCGATGTGTTTCCTCTCTTAACAACATCCGAGAATGGCATGATAACGACATTATCTTTAAATCCATGAGTATCACATGCTACCAATTGATCCTCCATGTAAATAAGATTCTTCACAGCGGGTATCATGGCCAGTAAATTCTTGAATTTCGGGAGTAATTCGTGGCTCGTTATAACAGTATCAACTTCAGTTTCATTAATCCCATGTGCAATAGCTTCGTCACTGAGTGTAGCATAAATAGTGACAACGGATAGATCCTGTTTGAAACATGCATGTGCTGCAATCATCCATTCTGCCCTTGTTTCGGCGAATATAACAATGTTCTTCTTCTTGGTCATACCGAGTTCCCTCAAACCACGACCGAATGATGCCGCCAATCTCTCAACTTCTGTATAACTTTTCCACTTGTATTCACCCATTTTGTACTATAATAGAGACAACAAATTAATTATAGTCAAGCCTTGACATTGAATTGCCAATGAAAACCCGTTTGTATTACAAACCTTTTTAAATACTCGACCATTGGGTTGGACTTCGTTCTCTTCAGCGAGAATTTGTCTCGTACCCAGGCATTTTTTTCCTCGGTGAGTTTCCACTGCGTATCGTAAAACTTTCTCAAGTGTATCGATATTTTGACGCTCGAGTTTAATGTGTATTGGTGACGGATCATCGGTATTCCTATATGTTATTGAGTTGTCGTCCTTAGCGATTACCCTTGCCTTAACTCTCCTTGACAATTTCCTCTTTTCCCAAGGACGTTGGAGAATTAAATACACGGGAAATGTTAAGAAATCATAGACATAAGACAGGGCCTTTATCGCTGTGATTGCCCCACTCATCCAAAAACCCTCCATTTCACTGTGAACAGCATCAGTATTATTTATCAACTATTCAATGATTAATTAAATTGATGTTATGACTATTCCAAACTAAATAAAATCAACATTATTTATGCTACTCTAATCATGTGCAATTACTGCTTGGACTCTTCCAATGTCATCCCATTAATAATAACATTTACTTCATACTAATAAACGCATTACTAACACAGCAGAGAAGATTAAAATAATGTTGAATATTTTGATCAGTTGTTATCCAATTATGTAACTCTCAATGCAGCATACATGGATTATACAATTATACTGGTTAAATGTCATTAGTAGAAAAATTAATTCCTCAACAATGTGGTATAATTGATAAAGCAAATGCATCAAAAGTTTATTTAGCAAGCTTCACTCATCCTCTTCAGATAAATGTCGACAAAGAAATTGGCAGACAAGTGAGAAAGAGCTTGTGTATATAATTAGCATGTATGCTAGGTCGAAATAGTGTAAAGTGGCCAATTGCTAATTAAAAGATTCTATTCAAGCAGAATTAGTAGCATTTGTTCTCAAGAGCATTCACCTACACTGCATGACTCCGCGATTTGTCGATATTGTGTAGTTGTTAATATTTGATGACATGCTGAAGCTTTATTAATTTCAATAACAAATTGCCGATAGCAAATGAATGCACCCATTACCGAAAATTGTCAACATCAACGTACGGAGTGAATGATTATTTCTTCAGAGCCATTTATTTTATTACCTGGAGCGAGCTCTTCTAAAAATTAAATCCTCTTTTCCACTTTGATCAGACATCGTGCCAAAGACGAAGACGGAGGAAATAACAGTATCAACTTAACAGTGTTCCGCGTAATCCGTGTTGTTTCCAGATTATTACTAAGTCAAATGTTTTAGGAATTAAAAAACGATCCTCTCACGGCCGCGGTCAATGCGGTGACTGATTTTCGTTTCTAGTAGTCAACTAGGCATAGGTGAGATCGTATGAGGGAAAATAATCATAGCTTGTTATCGTGCGCGGACTTTGGTCCAGTTTGATCTTGCAGCAATTTGAGGATATATGACAGATATCAAATGTATGTATTGCCATTGTCTCATTCAATTAATCACCATTTTTTGGCACATGATCATAACGTGTGCATCATTTTTTCAATTTAAATAACGTATTTTTTTTCTTTGAGTCGTATTTTATTTAATTTTATTCGATTTTTTCTCATTAATTGTAAGTCTTCATTACAATAATGCACCATCTTATCGTTTGAGGGGGACGAGAGGAAGAAAGATAATTTAACGGTGGGCAATGTTTAATTATTCCATCGGCAGACTTTGATGCTATTGGCTATAATCATTTCATAACGATTAATAATAATCAAAGATCGTGATAGGATGATCGGTTAATGTCTGTACAACTGGTTGTTTTGACCTTTGAAGTACGGAAAGACGAAAATATCTGTTGAACATTGAGCTTTGGTCGTAGCTGCAAAATGAAATTTTATGTGATTGAGAAGCAGCTTTCGTGTATTCGATAGGACGGTCAGTTTTTTCTACATAATATTAAGAATCAATCGAATTGACCGACATCCCCCGATGCGGAAAATGCATTGACGCGCCCAGTTGACCTATCCATTTAACATCATCAGGATGAAACAAAAAAAAAAAACAAGAATGTTACTCGGCAACTCATGACTACGTAAAGTCCATAAAATACTAGTAAAAGAACATAATGTTATTTTTCAGCTAAAAAATCGTGCAAAGCAGACAATTAATTTCAAATCATGCTCTACACATTGTTTTTTTAAAAAAACTACAGTTTTCATAATTATACAATAAATTGTTGCGACACACGAGCGACTCACAGTTTTTCTTCGACAATCATGATGAACAGGTCTATTCAACCTTGCCTTGTTAAAAAAAATATTCTTTCACAATTTTGGTGGTAACCTCTGGATTTTTTGACACTTCACCAAATGTTTCGTGATTCTCTCTGTAAGAAAAAACATAGATGATCCCGGTATCCACTGATTAATGGCCTTCGCCTGATGATAAATGCCGCAATCCATCTCAATTGTGAAATCAAGTATTTATCATCGGAAAAAATATTTATATATCGAAACAAGTGATTAAAGTTGTTCTCAAATTAGCCGTCTTATTTTCCTGAGAATCAAGGTAAATTGGATTTTTTCCTTGTATCTTATTACATAAAATACAAGATAGAGTCGCTCATAAAAAAATCACGCGTGAAGCTTCAACTTGATGATTTAAATGATGGAAAGAGTATTGCGTTCGCCGCACATGTTGCACGTTCGAGAATTCCATTGTAACTCTCTGGACTGCTATAAGTCTATATTTACATGATATATAGAGCGAGGCGGTACTGTGATCAATCCAGTCGACACAATTTTATCACCAGATGATGAACAAATTGTTTGATTCACATTTCTATATGAATTGTATTGAGTCAAGAGGAAACTCCCACATTTTATCAACGTGAAAGATAATTATTTTGGAGAAAGGTGAGACGACCCGTATTACATAATAATTTGGCGAATTCAGTGACTTGAATTTTGATTCGGTGAGAAGAGGAGATTATACATCGATAGAATGCCATACCTATGAGATTTTTATGATGATTTTTGGGGAAATGAAGAAAAATTCAATGAGAGAAATAATTAAAAAATAAGAAATTGAGATTTGAAATGTTGGCGTTGATGAGTTGCACGTGGTTTTCAGCAAGTGTATGACAAGTCTCGGCACTGAACTTTGGACTCCACCATATAGTGTGACTAAACAGTTTGCAGCCCTCGATAATGATATCCATACGTTGCACTAATGTCAATGTAGAAAATTATTTAAGTTGTCATATTTTTTTGTGCATCCCACAGCATTAATTACTCGTAAATCATAAAAAATCATATTTATGATGATACGGTATGATTTTAATTACAATTCATTGCATCTCCTATAAAGACTGTTGAAGGGGAGCGGAAATGAGCCAAGGGACAAGCGAACGAGGGGAGGACGAATAATTTTAAACATTACATGCAGACCAACGGTCAACTGGCATTACTTTCCCGCTTGTGCGTTTATTATCCTACTCATCCCTCCTACGTGACACTTCCACCATGATATTTCACCGAGTTAATCTTTGTACCCTGCTAGGGTACAAAGGGTGTTATGGATTATGTGCATCTATTTTTCATTGACAAATCATCTGTTGCACATTGTATTTGACCATAAAATTACTCAATTTAGCGGGAAATCATTGAGGTAGGATTAATTGGGTCAAAGAATTTAATGATGGTATTGTGATGGATCCATGCAGAGAGTGAAGGCGAAGAGATCAATTTTTATGGGAATGTTGTCACTTTGTGTCGTCCGGAGAATAATCCTCAATTGACACCGCAACTGACTCATTGACCTAGGTTCACCAATTTGTCATCGATTTAACATTCAACTGTGGAAAGATGAGTTAGTGGCTGGTGTGATCCTTAAATGTGACATACCGGTGTCGTTTATTCGCAGGATGGTGGAGAAAAAATGAAAAACCTTGTCAAGCCCTGATAATTTCAATTGGGTCAAGCCCTGCAATTTATAGTTATCGTGAGGTGAGATGATTACCTCATAACAAGCGAAAATAGAATTCAAACCCACGCAATCAGTCAGACAGCCAAGATGGGGGCATTTGTTGAGAATTACAGGACAATACCTCCACCATTATTTCAATCCGAGGAATATCCTTGTTTATTTCTCACAGATAAGACATAAGAGATGAGTAATAAAGGATTAATTATTGTGATGACTTACCGGTAATGCAAACGATTCCTCAACTGGTCAATTCACCTGCTCTAAAATTCTCCTAATTACGAATACAGCTGACTAATTTGGCGATGAAAAAAGTAAATTATGTATTATTCACCCAGGGTAATAAACCAAAGATAATGTCAAGGTAATTATAGTTCACTCGACTAATTATAGTCTATCTAGTATTTGTACTTTGACTCCCAGGGCGGAGGATGAGGAGAATGAGTCTTATGACTGAAAAAAATACCTCACAAACAAATGTTGCTCGATTGTCAGGTTATGTGCCAAGCGCAATCGCTCAATCTCCGCGTTTTCCCAGACCCACGTGATAATTCGCGATTAAGGATATCTCCACTCCTTACTATTACTCGCGACACTAAGTTCCACAAAAAATCTCCAATTATTTAATTAACAATAAATACCGGATTAATGACGACTCCAGATTGCATAATATTCCAATACACGTCTCTACCCACTCAGTGTTTCATCTCAATTTCGCTCTATTTTTGTTATTTAGCCGTGTACCATAATGTGGATGTACGTGGAGACATTGAGATACTGTCTGGACTGGCTGCATATGAATATATATCTACTTTTGAAGAAGACGCGTCGACACTGCGCGAAAGCCTCAGAATACAACCACGTGTTTCCTGTACACATGCACGATGCACGATGCACGATGCACGCCAATTATATAGCTCGTTCCTTATCCTCTTTCTCAATACTCTTCATTCCACATAATTTAATTCATCAATTATACTCAAATATTTTAAATCGATGTCTCGCTTTTTTTTCGCTTTTATTTGTTTTTTTAATTGTAGGTGTGGATTATTGTAAGTGGAGTTTGACGCAATATACGTTTAATACGTCCTCTCCGCTGCACTCAATGCACCACTGATCACTCGCAGTATCCGGGAGTGGCGGAGTCCTCCTACTGCTCGTCTCCTCGTCTGCTGGTTCTGCTGGTTATGGCTTATGCCTCTCCTATACCAACAACAATCATTCTGCGACAATATCTACTTCTCCACTCTTTGTCCATTATTTTTTTTAATATTGTTCCTTTTCAATTTTCAAACCAAATATTTTCTCTTCATTCTCTTTTATTCTCGTTCATTCCATAACTTAGAATCAATTTTTTATTTTTTGCAATTCAATCAGTTTCCATGAGTTTCCTTTGGATAAACGAAGCTGACGAATGTCATTAATAAATGTTTTGCAATGGTGATGTACATTGAAAATTCAACACTATCAGTCATTGATAATTTTTTTATCGCAATAGACTTTAAACTGAGTCACGGCAATCAAACGGCTTCCTTACTTTGTCAGGACCAATGGCATTATTCGATTTCCGACGAGTGGGAGATGTGGCGTGATCCAGCATCGCGTCATCACTATAATCAATAAGTGTATTTTCCCTTTTTACAATAGGAGGATGATGTGCTAACATGAAATGTGATATGTGGTTGATATTTGGTTATGAGGATGAATGTGCAGAGTACCTGAAGTAACCTGATGAGCTTGCAATTGCAATGTTTTCGAATTAGCATCGAGGATAATTATTCAAGACTAGAGACATTTCTTTGAAATTATTATGATTTTTTGTCTGCTCTTTCTTGGATAATTTTTTAAGTGTGTGGAGAATAGGTATGTGTGCTGCGCGGCCATCGACACCGCGAACAACGGCGCGCGCATTCGTATGCGCATATCCTCATGCACCCTCCCCTCCACTCCGTTCAGTCTTTCATGTACACTTCAATATGGCGGTCGCTTTTTCACGTAAGCTTCTCCTATCGTTTTTCCTACTTTCCCGTAAAATCCTACACATCATTTGAATCAATACGGCGTAATCATAGCGGTAAGCAATAATTTTATTGCCAAATTTACCAAAATGGCGACAAATTGCAAGCGTAAAAGCGCTAAAATACTCCCCTGGGCGCTTGTTGTCCTGGACATTGGACAATGTTCAAGTTTCACAGAATCGACGTAAGATGACGTATCTCGTACAGTTCTTGGCAGACAATCTGTGTTATTGCAATTTTTCATAGTTATTGGCTCAAGTTAACTAAAAAAAGTGGTTGCGACAAAGGGGAAGACAAAAGTCGAAACAATGGATCTGAACGAATTTACTCATAAATGTGAGATTAAAAAAGTGTTAAAGTGCGTGTTTTGTTATTGCCGATATATGGATAAATAGAGAAGATGGTGTTCGATAAGTGATATACCGGTCGCAGCAATTTCAGTGCTTTACGCAGTTTTATTAAATTTTAGATAATATTTTTTTTACGTAAAAAATCGTGAGTGAGTGGTTGGAGGGACGCAGGAAAAAAAGCAGTGGAAATGCAACTATTGTTTTCAACCAACATCGGTGAGTCATTTCAATGCTCATTTATTGATGAAATTGCATGATTGAGTCGAATATTCAAATTTCCCATGAGATCATTGGAGAAAGAGAGTGATTATTCTTCAATGCTTTGTAGCAAGCAAAGTAAACGAGAAATTGATACTAAAATTAATGGGAATCTAATGACACCTTGAGATACCGCGCTAAAAACGGTTGCTGTTGTTATTTGAATCGTTAGGGTTTCCCACCTCGAGTGCCCTCGTGCGATAAATTTCGATAGCTGTCGGATACCATTCTATTGTCGACGACTGATTGAGTAGATTTCGTTTTCAAAATGCTGACACCATGGTCATCATAGCATTTCGTGCATAGTCGGGTGGCGGTTGCATAAGGTTATGTTTACAAGTTTAATGCTGAGCTGAAACGTTCATTCAGTGCATTGTTTGTTGTTTTTTTGTGTTTGTATTGATAAAATAAAACATGGAAATGGTTACACAGTTATGGAACTTGACAAATGCTCTTGTCAAGACAGAGTCCTCAGGGGCAAATAACTTGAGAAATCATTACATGTAAGTTTCAAAATGTTTATCTTGTTCACATGTTTAATTCGTGAGAGATTAATTTTTTCTTTTTCTTCTTTTATTCTCATGGTCGTTGTTCAATGGAAAGACAATGCTGTCGTGATTTATGTGATAACGTGGAATTACCAAAAAACATTTTTGGTCCTGGGACAATGTGCTCTCATTGTGGCTCCTTGTGGAGGACTGTAAATCAAACAGTGAGAATCAATAAGAGTAAAAATCAATCAAGAGCAATTAGGAAATTGATGCGTTGTCAGGGTAACGATCAAATGAACTTATCAAATTTCAAAAAGAAATTGATAGATAAATGCATTAAAAGTCAAAATAATCAGCTCGTGATTACGTGCTCGGTTTGCCACAAAAAAACAAGAATTAATCTGGTGAAACCTAAAAGGGAAGTAATGAAAATCCGACTGGCGGAAAATGATAAAGTACAACAAAATATCACTAAAAAAAAGAAGAAGAAGAAAAACAGGGATAAGACAGCTGGATTAATCATCAATACACCGACTAACTCGGCAACTTCTACACCACAGAAATCGCAGCTCAATAATTTTACCAAGAAAGCACAAAAGATCACGCCGGTCCACCAATCAAAGAAAATTAACATTTGCAAATTAAAAGGAATGCTAAACACGACAGTAATGTCCGCGAAAAAACCTAATTTACATTCATTTTTATCTAAACTTGGATAATGCATAGATCAACCTGACCTCACGATCAATAAATTTTCGTAATACTATTGATACTTTAAAAAATCGACTGTTTTGCGTTTTAAAATGTTCGTCAATGCTTCGATGATCTACTGAGCAGCCCATTGGCCAGATTAAAGTGCTTTCTCGAGAGATGGCGCCAACAGTATTAACGGAATTAATTTGAAACAAAAATCATATCGAGGAAAGATCATAAACGTCGGCCTACCCTGTCTAAAATTGTCTGTAAACATTTATAAATTGTAAACTAACGAATCTGGAAATATTGCACCGATAAATAGTCAACTCTCTCTCTAGTAGGTTCAATTGAATTTCCTATTGAGATGAGGTGTGAGTGAAAATCTAACTGTTCTGTACATCTCTGTGGTATATATTCCTCACGAATTCCGCTCCAACAGACACTGACATACGTCACATATCACAAAGTTGAAAATAGATGCATTATACGAAGAGGTAAAATAACGGCCATGGAATGACAGTTGACTTTCCAAGTAAACACAATAAAATTTAATATCTCGTTTTTCAAAACGGACGAATTACTATAGTCAAGTGAATGATTTTCTCATGACGTGCTGATTCTGTCAGAAATTTTCAAAAATTAGTGACGGTTTTCCTCCGACTATTGTGGATATACACTCTTCAGATAGAAGACGTATCCTTCGGCTCGACCACATTTAGTTTTCATACGAAATAAATGCTGGTGAATTCATTCCACTGTGCAATACGCATAGTTATTCTATACGTATTGGATTATTAATATTCGTCGAAGAGGTTTAACACAAAATATTCTGGTTTTCTGGTGATTTTTTTCATTTTGCAACATTGAATTGTCTCTCAAAGATTCAATTTATTTGACGCGTCTTTAATGCGCGCAGGACACTACGTAGGTGTCCTAGGTGTAGTATTAGACCGTGACGGTACTGTGTCGAGAATTTACTTGATTGTTGAAAGCCAACCACACGAATTCACAGGCGACAATCAGTGGCAGATTTAAGTGATGTCGCCAATAAGGGAGATCTATGCGATTTTTTTTACAATTCGAAAATTAATACGAAGATATTCAATTGAGTGCTTGTTAGCACATGGAATATAACAAATTCAACTAATGCTCTGGACGAAACTGATTGAATGGTTGGCTGGCAGGAAGAAATATTTTTTACGAAAGGTTAGATCCACGTAAAACGTTAGCTAAACGGCTTAACGATTTCTTCTTTATTACTAGATTGATATTCATAGTTGATTGGGAAAATATTTGTACTCCTCAGCGACATAGGTCCATACAAAACTGATAACTCGTTACGAAGAGTGTATCATGCCTGAATCCAATGTCTCCAAGACAAGGATTGGATGAGGATTGGGGTATATGAAGGGGATATGAGCTGTGGTGGGCCAAGGGATATGCAACGTGAAGGTTAGGAACTACTGACGGACAAGAGAGCCCTGGTGAAACGGTTGTGTTGAGTTGTAGTTAGTCGTAGAGCGTAGGCAACGGAGACAGACAAGAAGAGACGATCGCTTGAAGTCCCTCTCCATCCTGGCTTTCCTGTTTGCCTGCCTGCCTGATTGGTTGGTTGGTTTGGTTGCCTGCCTGCTTGGCCTGCTTGCCTGTCTGCCTGCTTGCCTGCCTGCCTTGTCGCCCGTCCGCCATGCCACTACGAGGCAAGCGAACGTACAGCTAGGCCGGCACGGTCCTGCAGCCCATTTGGCATTTCCCCAGCTATAGCGGCGGTCCTGTAGCCCATCGTTGTTATCGTCCCGCAGCTGCATAAAGTCGGTTCTCCCCTGTCCCTCGCCCCACAAGTTCCCCTCGCGCCTCGTTCCTTCGTCGGCTCTATTCCCCCTTGTCTCCGAGCCCCGCTGCTCACTGTTCCTCGTCGTTCCCCCCTTCCCACTCTGACCCTTCCCTTGGTGCGCCTTCCTCGCTCTCTCCACGGCTCTTCCAATGGATCCCCTTTCCCCACCCCCCTACCTCCCACCAATCCCCTCGAGCGCCGCACAATTCACCTATCGTTGCCTGGCAAGCGAATCACCACTCACCTCATCCTTACAATTCTCCTCCCTCTCTTTCCTCCGCACCATTAATATTTCTCTCTCGCTCCAATTTGATACCAGTGCCGCCGCCATGTGAGACGCCTTTCAACTAGACACATACCATTTCCCCCCTTCTCTCACTTGGTTAATCGACACAGCTATGACACAACTAACACACACACATATGCACTTACACAGTGTAGACTTGTCCTTGTCGTCCTATCGATTCCCCGCTTTTCCCCCCACTACTCATCCACCTACTCTCAACTTCCTTCCCCTGCACGTCTCAGGCTGCACCTCCACCCCTCGCAGTAACCTTGGTGGAGAATAACCCGCCGTTCAATTCAAGGAATTATGACGACGCTCTCTTTTCCACTTTCTTACCTCCTCACTGTATCTATCCTTCTCATTCTTTTTCTTTTTCTCCAATTTTTTTTTTACCTCCACGTTGCACTTCTCTCTTTGGAAGCAACAACGAGAAGAAACTCAAGACACTGCCGTCATCCTCAACCAGGGACGTTCGAAAAAGATATCCATTGGTTGCTTATAAACTTATACTGGTTGCATTCCCCTGCTCGTACTCGGTCAACTATACCGTACTCATTTCTTATGTTGCTTTCATGTTGAGATAGAGCTGAGGCAACATTGTTATAATCTTATTGATGTCGTGAATCGACTGACAGAGCTAACCCAAGTCTCGTGTGGCTCGTACTGGCCCTGGATGGCTTGTCATCTATGATGAAATTGTGCCTGTGCGTCAAATTTACTGGTTGCTGGGTTATGTAGAACAGGTGGATACATGAGCGATATCGGTAAAACGATGGTGCGCAAGTGTTACGATATTTGGAGGTTAGGTTAAGACGATCCCTATAGATATTAATTTCCACATTATTAATGCCATTCATTCACTCAATTCGTGTCAATCTTTCCTATTAATCGAGTGAATTTCAGAATTCTTTGGTTATTAATTTATCGGAAAAATATCTGTCAAGCAGACACGCTTGTAAGATTCAGACTTGATGCATTATATATAATCGAATATATACAATCGTTATGAAATATTCAGTGTCTGTCCGTTTAATCCTACCTAATTGAGTCATTATTATCGTTCTTGGTAATAATTTGACGAAACTTTTGGAGTATACATAGAATTCCTAGAAATCGAAGGATTATTAATCATATGAGCGGCGACCTATTGCGCAGGGGCCATCATGGTCTTATGTAAGGTTGCCTCTGATGATTACCTCTCAGTAATTTCTAGCGATTTTCAGTATTTTCATAAAAAATTTCGATTTTTCGATTGAAAAATTGCTCGACAATATTGACCGCGATGATGTCATTGGATGAGGACGAGTTCTCTGATTGGTCGATTGAATGTCGGTAAAGAAGTAGCCGATACTAGTATAAAATTGATGAGCATCGATGAGAAGTTGTGGGAATCACAGTGAACCTACATACAAGAAGAGGGAGTAGGAAAAGGGGTTGGAAAGCTGTTATAGGAAAGCTTGGCAATGGCTCCACGCGCACCCGCATCCACACCCACACTAAATATATTTTGTTGAGTTTTATTTTCCCAAGGCGCCGGGAGGGCGCTTCTTCAGCGACACTCAGACGCGGGAGGTTAAATTCAAAAGTGTCACAATTTTTAACATTTTATTTCCAAAGCTCCACACCAAAAAAAAAATCATTCATAGCGTGA